AGCTCGTCTTTGGGCTTGCTTCCATCAACCTCCTTGGGCTCCTCGCTGCTGGTTTGTTCAGTCTTGGCTTCTTCGACAGGTTCTTGTTTCACCTCAACGGCACTTGTCTCGACAGGTACAACTTCCTTCTCCTTCGATCGCTTAGCAGCAGTACGATATGGTGATGCGCCGGGTGTTGGAAGCGAGTTTGAGCGCTTGCGACCAGCGAAGTCAGGAGTGTTAGGTTGCGACAAGGTTGGCGTAGGAAGGCCCTGAATAATTCCCAGGGGTAGGATCAACAAACTCTTAGGTCGGCGCCCTCCAACTTCCTCCTCGGCTTCCACTTCTTCGTCTTCATCATCACTATTGTAGGCCAGGCCGGGGATCTCGATTTCATCCACATCGTTACTGCCCATGGGAAGCGCTATTTGAGAGGGCTCAACAGCTTCAGCTTGTGCCTCAGCTTCTGCATCACGGGTTGGGACCCGACTTAAAGCGGGTGAATCAGTGAACACACTGTCTTGTCTTAGATGGCCATTAGACGCCCTTGAAAAGGGGCGGCCATTTAGGTCGATCACGGGTGACCGCATCCGCTTCTTCCAGCCCCTCCACAATCGCCCGAGTGTTCGGTCGAGAGCCACCCTCTCCATGTCTTGCTCTTCGACTACAATGCGGTCGGCGACATCGGCGGGGTTTCGGGTCCCTTCATTGATCTCCTTCTGGTATTTGGCCCGCAATCTGTGGTATGCGGCTTGTCCCGCGACAGTAAGGGTGAGCTCGCCCATATACTCCAGAACAGAGGTCAGGAAAATTGCAACAGCTGGTGAAATAACGTCGGAGACAGACTCGTTGGCGCCTAGCTCAAGATTCTCCTGTTCCATGTAGAGGTCCTCGTCTTCCTCCTCCATATCGCCCAGGGAAGAGTAGACCATGCACCTAAGGCGGGTGCGCTTCCAAACCAATTCCAGGTCCCAGTCACGCGCTTTGTCGCCAGTAGGTGGCACATAATCTTCCTCGTCACCGTCACCCAGGTATTCACGTAGCTCCTCATCGGCATTGTTGACGGCATCTTTCGCTAGCTTAGGTTTTAACACCTCAGATACGGCAGGTCGTAAGTTGGCGAGAGTAGTAGCGTGGGATTTGGAGAGGAAGTTGAAAAGTAGCTGATCAAGAAAATTGTTGACAAGCTGTAGCGCTTCTCCCGAGACGAGCGCAGGGTCGCTGGCTGGCTCAATACCGTGCTGATCATACCAGGTATCAGCGTGACTATCGTGGTCGTTTGTAACGATCTGAGAAGCGGCCGAGGTGGCGATGAAGGCCGCTGAGGGTGATACAGCGAGTGGTGGCGACATGAGGCTGTGGGCAATTGTTGAAGGTCGATCGCTGGAGATACTCTGTGTCCTAGATCTCACGTCGCGGGGAGAGATGATGCCGGAGGTAGGCCGCGACACGGCCAGGTCGCCATGAGAGGTCGCCATGGCTGCGATCTATATATATCGGGGGTAGACCTGCAAAGGTCTCCCAAACAATGCGTCGGGGACAGGGAAGTGGTCGCTGACCGGAAGTTTCGTTTGCCTTGTACGAGGCGAGCCGAAATAAACTCGGACGGACACAGAATTAGGATTGTGGCCCCGGCTCTTGTTCTATTCTACCAACGTGCGAAATGTTGGGGGAGGGGAGCGCGATTCGAGGTGGCTGAGCGGCAATATGTTTGGTCGATGAGTGAACCTGATTTCTGTTAATTGACAGTCGCAATGGTATTGCAATTTGAAGCACGGAACAGAGCGGAAAGTAGGGACGGAGAGTTGCTTTTTGTGTAACACAAGTCGCAGGTTGTGCAACGAGTCGACCACTGGCGAGACAATAGCTGATGGACACGGGAGCGCCAGACGTCGCGAGCCGACCGATGGCACCAATTCAATGAATTGCTGGTCGACAGGAGAAGCAGACTGCCTGGCTACCTTGACTGTGCTTTGTGGGAAATGAGGAATGGATGTAATAACAGACATACCTTGCAGTATAGCAAGAAGACCAGTAGCGATGCCAGGTGGGTGGATTATCGCAATGTCGCAAAAGCAAGCAACGTCAAGAAGCAGTCAACGAATGACTGTAAGAAGTTTGAAGACTAACAAAAGAGAGGTTGAAGTCAAGGTGAGAAAGAAAAGGTAGGTTGGAGGAACGAGGCGTGTCGATCAGGTCTCGGTCCTCTCCTGTTTGCTCAGTTGATTTGAGTTGAGTTCAGGTCAGGTCAAAGTCGCGGATTTGGCTGCTGCTAAGGGTCTCGTTCAGCCGGCGATTGTAATTGTATGCAGCCCCTGGACCCAGAACAGGCAAGACTGAGGACGGACTGGAAGGCTTCTGTTCTGGCTCTGGCGTTAGAGGTTCGGTAAGGTGAGCCAGGTAGACCTTGTCCCGGGGGACGGGACCCTGAGGTACAGGATCGACAATACAAGACAGTGCTATAGTGAAGGTACTGCTGGGACACTGTCTCTGCTGTCGCGGTGCTGCACGCAGTATCAGAGGTCGCACCACAGCGCAGCAACTGCCTACTGGAGTAATAGGATTTGCGACGAAGCCTCAAAGGGATCTAGCTCCTCGGGCAGGGATTGACTGATGCTGAATGAATGTGGATATGGATGCCGATGGGATGTTTCCACAGAAGCGGCCGGGGTGGACTGGGCTGGGATGGCAGCTGGAGTTTTGGCTGCTACTGGACAGTGAGTCTGGAAGCAACTCCACTATATCCACCGTTCCTGGACAAGCGGACAAGGGCCCTGTCAGTATCGCAAGGGTTTGAGTCAGGGACTCTTCTTTTTTTTTTGAGCGTCGACGGAGCTGGAGCGGAGTAGGGATTTAAGTGGGATAGGGGTTGTGATGGTGTTCTTCAGGAGTTTGCTATGTATCGTGTCGTGCATTGGATTGATTAACGTTGCGTGGAAGGATCAGTAGAAGTCGCCTAGAACACACTGTGCCACTGTGATTAATTGATAGGCGGATATGGATGGAATGCATGAATGTATGGCCAACCTCTCTTGTTCACGCACAAAGCTTGGATCTGTGGCTGTGGCCACAACCTCCTTTGATCGTGATATCTTCAAGCCTAGTCATGTTCATAGCTTCTCCGCGATATTCATTACTAGCATGCTAGCCTCTAAGGCTCCTCGTGGTTGCTCGGCAAGACCGTCTTTCTGCGGCTCCAGGGCTCCTCTTATCATGACTAGTATTGGCCATCGTCCATCGTGGGACAGTAGCTCAGCTTGTTATTGAGTTGGGTCAGATACACTTCCATAACAAAGATGCCAGGTAGCGGTTGGTCCATATCTTGAATATGTAATGTCCCGCTTCAAAGAATGAGCGAACCGTGCGAGTGAGTGTATGAGTCTGATGCCTGATGGTATTGATTTCTGCATGGGATCATCAGACACCTCTCGTGTCGCTGCTATTGTACTGTAGTCTGTCTGTACCCATTACGGCTACCGTCACAGTTGCATACCATGCTTGCTTGCTTTTAACCGTTGAAACACATAGACGTCTTTATCGTCCCAGGTTACTTCTTTCGAGACTCCATTTTGCTGAGACGTGGATACATGTTACATCGGATCTGTTTCATATAACCATGCCATAAAACTCAGTCGTAATTGACTTGTTACATGTCATCTACCGAATACCTAGAAACAACCATTTTTCATCCCATACATGGTCTCGCACGGACAGACTCAGCTTTTTGTCATTATCACCAACATCAAAGACAGAAAAAGAGAATGTGAGTTATTAGACGAGCCAAGCCAAGCTAAAGACAAGACCACTTAACCACCCCTGTCCAGACTAATAGCTATGGCGTGGGCGTGGCAGCCACCGCAAATCAAATGGTCGATGCTTTGGTCCGAGAACTGAGAAGCTCCACAAGCCACGCGGGTCAATGGAATGCTGGCGCGCTTGGGGATGATGGCTCTTATGTTCTCCGAATATCACGAATGGATCATGAACGAACCAACATGGGATACCTAGTCTAAGTCGCTCTCGCCTCAGGAGGCAACTTTCCTCCGAGGCGAGATAACGACATTCCCCATTGTCCATTGCGTAAACCGGTTATCCGTACAATGATCAGCAGTCCATGCTCTCCACGTGCTTTGTTGTTGATCGACACTACTGTACGATCATGATGAGCTGCTGCAGATTGTGACTCCTATTCCGCTAAACAGGATATCAATTTGGCCCATCAATGATCCGTGAGTGATTCCAGTAAACCACCTCGACCACCTATCGGCTCCTATCTTGACAATTAGTTGATACCGACTCCCCTGGCCCGAATGAGCAATTATGATAAACGTGGGCGACGGCGTCTATCCAACTATAGTTACTATACACACAATCCAAGACTCAATTCTCAGGGCCAGCTTCTGGGTACTATAACTTTATCCATCCAGATCAGCTCAGCTCAGCCCCAACCCAGTAAGAATGCTCTCCTCTACGTGAGGCCGTGCGGGATGGCCCAGGGAATTATCCAAAGTCGCTACCCGTCATGGCGTCGTTACACGTAGTATCACGCTCGAGAGACAGCTTGCAGGTCTTGCTGTAACTCGTCAGTAACAGCAATGAATCTGTTTTGAACGGTCAAGATCTCATTTCTGTAAAGTTTACCGGATATGAGCTCCCTCTCGCCTCAGAAATGGACGCTATCATAAAGTCAAAATAGGGCCCGAACCAACGGGACACGTCTCGACCCCGGATCCATCATGTTGGCTGACAACTTTTGCCCCTCCAGAGGCTGACTAGCACTGAGACGAGACGCTGGTCAATCTGCGATCCTGCAGCACATACAATGGCCAATCTACGTGACAGCGACAGAAAAGATCGGACATTTTCCTATGTGCCGAGACTGAGCGGAGAAGAGGGCCGAACATGGCTCCCGGATCCACGGTACAGGCTCAGGTTCAGGGTCCAACAAAGACAACAAAAAAGAGGATCGACACCAAAGAAACCTAAACCTAGTGCTTGCAAATGTCTAAGACATTGTCCATCTTGAGACTTGGGTCCTGATATGTTACGTGGTCTCGTCTCACCCTCTCACCACTTACACGGCTCAGACGCCGCCGCACCGGAACTCATTGTCTCTGATTTGCATCATGACTGGCTCGTGTCGTCACTCTCCAATCTGTCTCAGTACGCTAAATCCATCCCCTGCAGCTTGTCAGCTCAAGTTGTCCAGCCACTTTTTGTATCAGGCGGGCTACGCTATCACAATCACTACATTGGCTGTGCCGGACAAGCTGGTGGAGATAGCTGTTTAGAGCTTCAATTGGCGTGCTTTGGTTTTTGCGTGCATAAGGTAGTCAAGCGACCTGTTGATGGCACTATCGAATATGGATACACTCAACCAGATAGCCTACGCATTGCTGCAGAACGCCAGGTCTTCTGTACTTTGACTGTTTGCTTGAGTGGCAAAAGTACTTTTCTAGGCATCTCACCATATCATGTTCAGCCTAGTCCCCTTATCACAGCTCGACTTCAGTCAATGGGTTATACAACGGAGGACACAACAAATACTCATCAATGCTCATCATCCCTTCATGAATCACACATTTCTTTAGCACAGATTCTGTTTTGGTATCATCGATACAATTCGGGGTCCTCTTATGACCCAACTCAGTCAGTACATACAGCCCGTGTTTCAGGAACAAAGCATGGACGAATACCTTGGCATCATCACCTCCATGTTTGCTTGCTTTGAAAGACCAGATGACTTTTCGGGCTCGGCCCGAAGTCTAATCATCGTTTCCGGCGCCTCAGCTAATAGTCTACCCTCTCCTCGGGACAGGTCCTTGCGTCGATGTTTGCTCGACTTTCTACTCTGTCATTGGATGCTATTAACAGAAACGAGAGCATGACGCCTCATGCACGTTGCCTTGTGTTGGGAGCTGAGACAAGTATGATCTGCAATGAGGCTGCGTCCTTTGAGTTGTGGTGTTGAGAAATCGTTAAAAATAGACGATATCATGTTGGTCACAATCTTAGAAGGATTAGAGATCTAGCTAGTGTGGCTTAAAGAAACACGGCACGTATTGCAGTGGAACAAGAGTTCCCACAGCACAGTCTATATTTATGCTCTAATGCTGATTACTCGAACTGATAGCGAGAAATCTATTTAACCAATAATGGGGTCAATGCCTCAAGTGATGTGGCATGGCAAGTCCGTCGTTTCTTCATAGCTGAAGAGTGAGGCTTTGTTCTGAGTATCACCAACACATGCTATCCCGTGGTCTGTCCCTCAGAGGTATATGGTCGGCCCAATGGTTATCGACTCGCATTCAGTTATGCAAGTGATTAGTTTCCTTAGGGCGAAACTGGCTGTTATGAAGTCGAGAATTTGCATGCTCAGCTGCAATTCGCCGAAAGAGCTTGGTCAAGAAGACAAGTCGCCTTTTCTCTCACGACTACAATAGCTGCTAGCATCATTTTGATACTTCAAGCGCCGAGACCGATAGGCTGGTTGCGGTATGGGTTGCGCTTTGGAAGCCCTCCAAGCGTTCCTGTCGTATTCATTAGAACGTGCCAGCACTGAAGGAGGTATCACAACGTTACCTTTAATATTTCCGTATCTACATAAGCGACATACTTCTTTTTCTAAACTGACACCCTCGATGACGGTTTCGGGGCAGGTCGCCATCAGCTCGCCGCGGATGCAGAGCTCGACGATTCGGCTGCTCAGTCGGCAGCACTCCTTGCACTGGACGTTTTCGCCTCGACACATAGCTATATAAGTATTCAGTTTCTATCCGTTAGGATATTGGGCTCTTACGAGGAACATACTCACTGGGATAGCGTTGTTGTGTTGGTGATTAAGGGGGTGTAGAACACTAGGACGGTGAAAATGGTGGTATTGTAGCGAAGCAAGATGCGATCAACGCAAATATATAGGGATCGAAGAAGTGAATGTTCCTCCCAGAGGCAAATTTCAGTAATTCAGTCCAATGTATTGATGAACTCACTTGTCGAACAACCAGCGTTCGAGAACAGAACCGTAGTCTTGAGGCCTGCTCTTTGGAGAATGGTTAGAACTACTTGTTCACAAAAGCGAACAGCAGAACATCACGTTTAATACAATTTGATAGTAACTTATTTTCTGCCTACAGATGTTGTTCAGTGTTTCTATTTTCATCCTGTTTCAGTCTCTAGTGGCATTTGGTGGTGAGATTAGTGTCCCCTGAGTTCTTTGTTCAAAGTGAAGAAATGAAAAGAAACATGAACAACCACGGTTTCGTCCGCCTCGATCACTAATTGCAGAAACAAAGAAATCTTATGACATGGCTCGCAAGGTTTCTTCAAGGGATTCGGTGTTTGTTGCGTTTAGCTATTGTCGAGTTACTGTAGAGTCAATTGGGGATAGTTACAGACACCAGACAAACAATAGAAAGGTGATGAGGCAATACTTGACATACATACATGACTCGGTATAACGCTTTCCTATAGCTACCTATTCAATTGATTGGCCACGCCCGCGTGATTGTTTCTCGCTAATAGCAATCTCAACTTCATAACTCATGCCGCTCAGTTTGCGAGGCCAATTTGTATATCAACAAAATAAGAAGCTTGTGGAACATGATTTTCCAAAACATGGCCGGCATTGTTATAACATGTTGAATTGTTTTACTAAGTATGATCTGTACCACCGACGTTTCGGTTCTTTGTCAGTTTATTGCTAGTTCGTGTGAAAGAACTGAACACCCAGGCCAGTTCGGGTATCAGGGGCCCGTGATATTCAGCTTCAATGCTGATATTCTTCAGCGGGAAGCTCTGGAATAATTATGTCTGTACGTAAAGGTAAAAATACTGTTCCAAGACGTTTCGTGACGGTTGAAACACCCTGTCACTGGCAAAGGGTGCCGCGTTTACTCCTGCAAGGGATCTCTTATTGTGCCTATTGAAACATGACTATCAAGCAAACAATAGGCGCATGGCTACAAGATCTCGGCCGTAGCAAAGTGTTCTTCTTCTTTCATGTTGGAATCATTCATCTAACATTACACAAGAAAATTAACTTGCCAGGTCACTCCTTTCTCTAGCAAACAATGTGGTCTCGCCCATACACTATACCGAGGGACTATCTGCTCCCTTTTCTATCAGTTTTTCTGTTTGTCATACAACTCGGTCTCTCTGTAAACGACCTACCGTCTATCAAACTCATGCAAAATATTGTATGCAAGCATGTACATCGCATCGATAGCCCTGGGCTTCTTCCAGAAGAGAAATGTCAGGATGAGCCAGTGCAACAGCGACTCAACTTCATTATGATGGGGATGCAAATCTCCCCACTATTTCGGGTATGTTTCCATCTCAACTCATATCTGTACACATTAGGATTGTGCATAGGACTGACAAATCTACAGCTACCCTAGTTGCTTTCCCCTTGGGTGTTCTCGCAGATCGAATCGGCCGTCTTCCTGTACTCGGTGCAAGCATCCTCAGCATGATACTGTCAGAATCATACACCATGTTCGTATGCTGGAAATCAAGCATGATTCCACTCGAGGCAATATGGGGTATCGGTGTCGCACTTCTCTTTGGTGGAGGTCGAAGTGTTGCTGAGGCTATGGTATTTGCTATCATTGCGGACATGGTGCCCGACTCCAAGAGGCAAGCTATATTCTTAGGACGAGATAAACTAGTTGCTGACCAGTCTTACTAGATCAACATGGTTTCAGTGGGTTGTCGCCTCTGTTCTTGCTGCTCAGCTCGTTGGCCCTGCGCTATCAGGAAAGCTTGTTCCGTCATCGATATGGATGCCACTCTTCTTGTCCTTGGGCTTGGTATTCGGGGGCGGTATCATCCTAGTGAGCTTGACACCAGAAACGCTCAAACGAAAGCAGCCTCAGGGGGACACAAGCATTGGGCCGTATGACTATGGCCTAGAGTCAGACATGTTGAGCTTGGAGTCTCCCAAGAGAACATCGGTGCTGGTCGCCTTCAAGTCGATATTCACTAGGCCTCTCCTCTGGCTTCTCCCTGGCTCTGTCATGACAATCCCACTAGCAACAGTGCAGACTGACATCACCGTTCGCTTAATGCCCATACAGTTCAACTGGCCCCTCGACCGTTCTGTACTCATTGTATCTTTGCGAAGCCTGGTCACACTTCTCACCCTGTGCATACTGCCACCTGTAATCACATATTTCTGGACCAAACTCGCTCGTTCGCCAGCTCATCGCAAATGCTCAATTCTAGCTCGTGCGAGTTCGTTGCTATTCTTAGCTGGCTGCCTCTGCATGATGATGGTAACAAAGGAAGCCTTCATCATTGCAGGCCTAGCCGTGTCGGCACTGGGCTCAGGTCTACCTACGGTATGCCGCGCCATGTTAGTTGGGGTGACAGGGGAGGGGAGAGCCGGGATGCTATTTGGACTGCTGGCGGTCTGTGAGATCCTAGGTTTCCTCGCTTGCGAGACAAGCATGGGGGCGTTATTTGGGGTTGGGCTGAAGACGTGGCTGGGGATGCCATTTTGTCTGGGGACATCAGCTGCTCTTGTTATAAGTCTGACAACCTGGTTAGTTCCTATGAAGTTGTTGAGTGCTGGGGACAGTTGATCGGAAACTGTCTCGTTAATTCGATGTTGACAGGAATATCCGGTTTGGGGTTGACGGCAAGGGATAATTACAACTACCCTGGAGCATCACAAATTTTCACAGAATTCAACCTTATTAACGTTACACATAAATACACAGTAGCATCTCCACGGCAGCCGCTTAAAAAACTCTATCCTTGAAGAGATCATCCTCAAATTGGAAGGTGAATTTGTCCACGTTGTGTGCCTTACCCTTACATGACATTGGTGTCGCGGTATTTGCCTGTGACACCATTCACAGCTGATGCTCCAAAATTGGCAGATGGCTTCAAGAATTCCAGTTTTGAAGGTTTCAAGGAGTTATAGGTGAGACAAATCCAGGTCTTGGTGCTGTAGCAATATCTTACTTAATACATATAAGCGCTGGAATTCATCTTTACCAGCATACCCTGATCACCATATGCAAGATGGACCAGTAAGAAGGGCTCCAATATCTGCAAGTCTCGGATTCTTACGCTTCTCTTTTGCCAACACAAGGCCCATCAAGAGTCACATAGTGAAAAGTCAAAATTGATTGGGCTTGGCTCAGATCAAATGCCCCGTCAAAGAATCAGCAGATCAGAGGAAGACGAGACAAGGCGATGCAAGGGTATATGCAACAATACCCAATTATGTTATGTTATGCAACTCTGGAGTGTGTCAACCGTGGCAGATTTCGCCAGATACCGTTCGACCTTGACTTGACCTTGTTCAACCTCAATCATTCTGAGGCTCCTACTTCCGAGCTCCGAGAGTTGCGAATTTCGTAAAGAGGCGAGGTATAAAAACGTTCATCACGTCATATCGCCGACTTGTCAGATAATAGCCTTATCTATAACGACACCAAGTACGCTGACCTGAGCAATTTAGAACGGCCCTTATATCCTCAGCCAGAGACTGGAAGCTACACCAAGTACCAGAGACGTCTCTCTAAGAAACGACAAAGAGATGGCGGCTATAAAAATCGATACAGAAGAAGCTCTTCGGCGTGTCATTCACACAACACCTATCATCGACCATCATGCCCACCCTCTCTTAAAGCTGAATGCTATAAGGAAACATCCTCTCCTATGCATCGCTACCGAGGCCAATGGAGATGCCATTGAAGACTCAAAGACAAGCTTGGCACATCTTCGTGCTGTAAAGGTTCTCGCCAACCATCTAGGCACTGAGACAACTTGGGAAGCTGTTGAGGCTGCTGTCGCCAGAAAGCAAAAGGGCAACTATGATGAGTGGATAAAGACATGTATGTCAGGCATCGAAAACATCTTGGTCGATGATCTTCTGGGCGATCCGGCTGATGTTGAGCCTTACCACACGCTCAATGCTTATACAAGAAGCCCCAACAAGCGCATCCTTCGAATCGAAGAGGTTGCAGCGAGCTGTATCGAGAAGGCCTGTGGTCAATTCTCACACCCTTCAGAGGCATTCTCAGGATCTGTTGAGAATTTCATGAACGCCATCTATGATGCTCTCGATGACCCGGAAATTGTTGGCTTCAAGTCTGTTATCTGCTATCGAACAGGTCTCGTCGTCACTCAAGTCACCGACCTTGAGATCATCATGCAACAGTTCCAGCTCATATTTGACGCCAGGAAAGAAGACGGTGCTCAACCGTTTGAGAGACTTGATCATGAGCCACTCAACGAGTACTTCCTTCACATCCTGGCTGGCTTGATCCAGAACAGTGAGGATGAGCACAAGAAACCTGTCCAGTTTCACACTGGTCTTGGAGACAATGATATCACATTATCCAAATCGTCACCTGCACATCTACAAGAGTTCATCAAAACATACCCAGATGTGCCAATCGTTCTCCTTCATGCTAGTTACCCCTTCACTCGTGAAATGGGATACTTGGCGAATGTTTACAGCAATGTCTACGCTGACATTGGCGAAGTGTTTCCCTTCATCAGCCGCGAGGGACAAGAAGGTGTAGTTCGACAAATCTTGGAGCTCTGCCCAGTATCAAAGATTCTCTGGAGTACCGACGGACATTACTTCCCGGAGACTTACATCATAGCCGTGGATCAGCTACGGGACGTGTTGCAGACTGTGCTGGCGGATTATGTTCACAAGGGAGATATGACCTGGACACAGGCAGCTCAGCTGGTTCAAGACATTCTCTTCAACAACGCCAACAAGCTATATGATCTGAAATTAGAATTCAAGCCATTGCCACCAGACTCAAGTCAAGGTCTTGAGTCTTCTGAGCAAACGTACGTTGCGACACTGGCCCGATTCCTCAAGAATAAGGAAGAACCGAGATTCTTGCGGGTAACTTGGACTGACTTCATTGCAATGTCCCGAGCGAGAGCAATTCCTATGCGCCGCGTCTGGTCCATGCTGCGAAACGGCGAAGACTTTACACTCGGCGTGACGAAGGCTGGCCTTGGAATCGACCAAAGAGATTCGCCAGTGCCGAGTATCACACCGACAGGAGAGTATAGATTGCATCCCGATCTGAGCAGCCTTCGTATTGGTCCTCGCAAGGGGCATATCAGTGTCATGGGTGACTTCAAAGAAAAGGACGGCACGCCCGCGCCTTTCTGTACACGAACCCTCCTAAAGAAGACACTCAAGCAGGCAGCTGAGCAAGGGCTCGAGTTTACGCTCGGGTTTGAGATCGAGCTTGTGCTTTTCCGTCGCGGTCAAGAGAACAAGTTCGTACCACTTGATAGCGACGGACATATGTGGTCGGTCACTCGGGCCCTGGACCACGAATCAGTGATTGAGGTCCTTGAAGATGCCGTTGAACAACTCGATGCTGCTGGTGTGTATATAGAGTTAATGCATCCCGAAAGTGCCAATGGGCAGTACGAGTTTGTTCTGCCCAAGGCATCGGCGCTTGAGGCAGTTGACACTCTCCTCTACACCAGAGAAGTTATCAGCAGCTGCGCTACAGCAAAGGGATACCGCATGACGCTCCATCCTAAGCCATATGCCATGTCATGCGGGACAGCAGCGCACATGCACATGTCTATCTCATCACCTATCGGATCGGATAAACAAGTTTACGAACCCTTCTACGCAGGTGTCCTGAAGCATCTCCGAGCCATTGCAGCGTTCACATACTGCAGCATGGTCAGTTACGAGCGTGTTGTAGACGGCTGCTGGGCAGGCGGAACCTGGGTAACATGGGGTACCCAGAACCGTGAAGTGCCACTACGCAAGATCCAGGGTAGTCACTGGGAGATCAAGTGCATCGATGGACTTGCCAACCCCTACTTATCGCTTGCGGCGATCCTATTAGCGGGTACAAAGGGTGTTGCTGACGAGGAAGAGCTGGTCTGGAAAGACTGCGCCAAGGACCCTGCAGTGCTGTCTTCGTCAGAGAGAGAAGAGCTCAACATGAGTGCAAGATTGCCCAAAAGCATACAAGAGGCGCTTGCGGCCCTGGATGAAGATGAAGAGTTGACTGGACTACTTGGTCCTGAAGTTGTTGAGAGATTTATCGACATCAAGAAGGCAGAGACAGCTATTTTGGAGGAGATGGGAGTTGATGAGCGGAGACAATGGGTCATGGAGCGATACTGAAGCTGACAATGACCTCGTTTACATTTGACGAGGAGATGGATATTAGCTAATAGACTGAGAACTTGGCATCTTCAACAAGCCTTTCTTATGTTAAAGAATTCATCTTCCCTGTCAGCTGAAACATTTGGTACCCAATGTCATGATGGTGACTCCGCAACAATGGGTGACGAAGCGCTAGAAAAGCTCTTACATGGACAGGGCGTTCGCGAAACCCGTGGTACTGGGTACAGTACCAGGGATTATGCATCGAGAAACTAGGTGGTTATTTCTGATCAAACACCGACAATAGTAAATAAACTTGGTTTAGGGATGAAACTAGGCTACGGCAGAGTGACAGTTGGCTCAGTGGCAGTGGATGGTGGCTTATTTGAGGGGTCTCTCAGCTGGAATGAGGCGGACGATACTGTCTATAGCTCTATGTGAAGTGAAGCTGGTTGCAACGTCATTGCATCCAATGTTATGTTATGCCTCTGCATTCCATTCCATTCCATCTGCTAACGATGGAATGCACTTCAAGAGCAAGGAGCAGTCTCTAACAATTATGATCCCTGTGCTTATCATGAAAGATTTATCCACATTCTGGTGCTGGTCTTGACCTCTGATAGGTTATGCAAAAAGGTCTGGACCCTATGGATCGTATCATATCATTTAAAGGTGCCTCTCAAAGTGGATCGTCCCAAGCAAAAGTTGCTGTCGATCCAACCTCGAAACTCAGATCTAGGAATAAAGAAAGCTTGGCTGAGGTCCCCACTGTTTCTCGTTTTTATCCGGGGTCTGCTCGCTTCTTATCCTGCGCTTTTTGATGGGACGTGGAAATTAACGACGGAGTCGAGAGCCCATCAGAGGAGTAATGTCCGTGACCAACTTTTCTTCCTTTTTATCTATTTAATCTTGAGATGGGTCAATTCATGCTTCAAAAGTGAAATACTGTAGTTTCAAGGGACTGAGGCACTAAAGCCATCCTTGGAAAAGTGCCCTGACTAAAGACGAGCTTAACAACGCCGTCGGTTCCTCTTTGCGCTATTCACAACAGTTCCAGGTACGTCGGACTTTGCCGTCCGCTGGCATTTGCCATTGACAGTCAATTTGCCATGGAGATGAGTGGATCGGACGTTTCAAACAGAACCCACAGCAACATTCTTTGACGGAGCATGCATAAGCTTAATAAGATCCAACGTTGACCAAACTCGCCTACAGATAGTATCACCTTGTAGCATCCTCAAGCCTTTGTATATCTCCGCAAGGTTGACTTCGTGTAGACTCTGCACTTGTGCTGGTCAAGCAAACCTTATTTATCAACGAAAATCCATTTCTCAGCTGGCCCTGTCAGCGGAAATCACCTTGTCGCGCGTCGCATCCAGCAAATTCCACCGTTGATGGCTGAAGCCGGTTCGCTGGAAACTCATCCCGTCCAATGGTTCAATGTGCCCTGTCCGTGCATTTTATTGTTTCTTTTAAAGGGCCTTCCTCGCTGTTGATCGATGTACGCGATCGGCCAGGTTGCTGAAGATCACTTCCTTTTACTAACATGTCGATGTCCATCACCCGTAGCCGAACTCAATCTAGTTTGGAGTTTGTTTGCCAAAGGCCAATAAGCACTTATCGCCAAGGGTAATAATGCATGCGGAAGAAGTTGTCGGTTGACATATTCCTGATGTCGAGTCTGAACCAAAGTAAAAAGAGAATACCGTCTGCTTTTGATGGATATAGCCATCCTTGATATTGCATGATATGGATTCTGGAGATTAGTCTCTTTGTGGTTTAGTTCTGAGTGGCTTGACCACTAACATTAACAGACCACGCAGCAATCCGCCAAACGGGCGAACAGCTCGCAGCTTAGGTACTGTACCTTACTGTGGTCTACCTCTTCTGTACCTAACTTCAGGTCCAGCCGGAACATTCATAGTGCCAAACTCGACATGCGTATCCCGCGTAACCCGCTCGGTCCGGTAACAACCCGTATTATTGATTTGCTTGTTCGTTCAGCTCCAGTTTCGTTCGAGCTCGATGGCAATTCCGCATTCTTGGCTTCCCGAATTCGATTCACAGCAAGGATTTTAACTTTATCCAACAAGTCCTTGAAGAATATCGTCTCAAAATTCAACCCGTGGCAACGAATTCATGTACGTCCTTACAACAGCCGTTTATTGAGCCTTCCCTCCACGCGTTGGCTTCTCCAAGGGCCAAGCTTTTACCACTGCGACAGTTCAGCCTACAGGACGGCCTAGTGGCCCAGACAGCTTAGTCCCACGCATGCCCCCAAGAGACTCCGCCGATCGCTACCGTTTCCAACACCACTCTCCTCCCAATCTCCATCCATAATCCCATCTCCCCCAGCTCTTACATCCCCAGTCCTGGGCCGTCTTTGTGTATCCGCCAGCTGCAGCTGCGACCTCGCACGCACTCGCACGACTCACTCTCCTTTCAGTCTCAGCCCGCACAAGATCGAGTACTCGCCTAGCAAATAGCGCCGACGTTTGTAGGAGGACACTTCAGCCTTTTTTCAAACCTTGCTTCATCCTGTCGTCGAAACCGTTACCATTCCCCGGGAAGGCCGAGTCAGCACACCACAGTCTCGCTACAGCTTTCGCCTCCCTTGGCTGTGCTGTCGATCACCGATCCACAACCATCAAGTCCCTCCACGACGAGCACCAGCGAAGCCGGAGTACGATCCCGAATCTTGACGTCGAGCCGAGTATTCAAGATCAAGGCGCCGGGGCGAGCCTCCTCACCTCTCTCGGCTCTAACTTCAATTCACCTTACTAGCACGACTTCCTTCGTCTGCGCCTTGCACTGAACCGTTCCAACGCAACCGACGATGCCGCGTCGCCGCGCTCGACCCTCTAATTCTTTCTTCTAGCCTGCCTACCATGCGAATCGCCATTCGTGAGCAGCTTGCAGCCCTCGTTCTTCTTGCCGTTCTCGTCTCCCTCGCAATTGTCTCTATTCCAACATGGATCTATGTCAATCGCTTTGTAGTCGACATCGAGCGCGAGGGTCTACAGCTCACGGCTTCCCTCAAGGCATCCCGGATCTCTGCAGAGCTCGGTCTCATTGAGACCATTGCCATGACAATTTCTTCTCGAATTCTCGTTCAAGCAGCACTCACAAATTTCTATAACACTGGCGATCAGAACTGGGAAGATGCCCGCGAAGATCTTGAGAGCGCACTTGCTGTCAGCACTAGTTCTGGTCTGTTACAAGTAAGGCTATATTCGAGGAATGAAACGGGCGCTTCTGATGGCGGTTTGCTCAATGTGACCTCCCCTTCAGCACCAGAGATCATTCTGCCCTATGGCAGTTCAACTGGCTCCGAGATTCGACTTGGCGACTCTGATGAGGGTTATCCACCGACTCTCTTTCCTAATCTTACATATATCAATCTCGAACGCCCAAGTTCTCAGCGCAATAACACAACAGCCTTTGCAGCCGAGGCATTCCCAGATGTTCGGATTGCCCGCGATGGTGGCTTATTACTGGGCCCTTTGGTTCTCAACGAGAGTGCTTCCCTCCTTTCCGTAACAATCCCTGTTCGAGACAACAACGATACCTTCATCCTTGGCTACATGACAGTGGTTACGCTTGCCGAGTCACTCACCACGGTTCAGGAATCTCGTGAAGGATTGGGGAAAACGGGTACAGTCTTGTTGATTGGCCCTACCGATCGATCAAATCGTTTCAACAAGACTCAGCCCGCCAGTAATGCGACATACACTCCCAACCGTGACGAATTTGGTAATGTGATGGTCAAGTTTGTCCTTCCTCCTAAGAATCCGGAAGGACAGAAGGATCGTCATGATGTTCATCAGTTTGTCAGCGAGACCGGCAATAGGGCATTTCCTGTCAAGTATTACCCAGCAGCATTGGATTCGTTCACAAAACATTACTATACTGTTAATAACGCCAGCGCTCTCCTCAACACACACAACGAACAAAACGTCCGTGTTGCAGTTGGATTCGCTCGGACGCAAACTCCTCTGGCCAACTGGACTGTCATTGTTGAGAAAGCCAGATCAGAAGCCTACAAGCCGATCAACACTTTGCGAAACATCCTGCTTGGAACTGTGTTCGGTACTGTCGGCTTGATAGCCTTGCTAGTCGTTCCATGTGCTCACCTCAGTGTGTTGCCGATTCGAAAACTCAAAGCGGCCACAGAAAAGTCAATCAATCCCCCAGGATACGAAGACTCATTCATCGATTCGGATTCCGAGTTCGGAGAGGAGATTCCCAGTTCTGGAGGAATATCACGACGATCGAAAAAGCGAGGACCAATAGCCAAATTTATTCGAAAGATGCAGGGTAAATCGAATGGGCCGAGTTCAAATCGAGATGTTGCTCGCCGGATGTTCAAAATCCCTGCAAAAGTCGATGATCGGAAGCACTTCGTTACAGATGAGCTGACTGAACTGACGCGAACCTTTAACGATATGAGTGACGAATTAGTAAAACAATATCTGTCCCTTGAGGTCAAGGTGGCAGAGCGAACAAGGGAGCTGGAGGAGAGCAAGAAGGCTGCTGAGGCGGCTAATGAGAGCAAGACGCTTTTCATTGCCAACATTTCTCACGAACTGAAGACGCCCCTGAATGGTATTCTTGGCATGTGTGCCGTATGCATGGAAGAGAACGATATCGTTAGGATTAAGCAATCCTTGAAGACACTCTACAAATCGGGCGACTTGCTGCTTCATCTCTTGGAGGACTTGTTGAGTTTCTCCAAGAACCAGATTGGCCAGCAGCTTAACCTTGAACTGAGGGAATTCCGTCTGGCCGATATCCGATCACAGATTTTGACCATTTTCGACAAGCAGGTTCGAGAAGGAAAGATCAACTTCTCGGTAGAGTTCATCAGCTCCGACAACATCGACATCAGCGCAAGTCCAGATAGAACGAATGGTGAGACAAGATTACCAGCACTTGGCCCCTATGGAACTGGAAGATTAAAAGACATGTGTCTATGGGGCGACCAACACCGAATACTTCAGGTCATTATCAACTTGGTGAGCAACAGTTTGAAGTTCACGCCTCACAATGGTAGCGTCTCAGTCCGCATTAAGTGTCTCGGAGAAGCAGATGCCATTGCCGAGAATGAAAGCCGTACGTCATCAATATCGAAGAACTCACGGAATAACTCACGGACTGGGCGTCCTCGACAACGTGGAAGCGCCAGCTCAGCAAACTCGGGGGGCTCAGGAAACCGAAACTCGATTCCGAAGTTCAAGGGCACAGGAACTGCCCTGTCCATCAACCCCATGGACCCCAAGGCGACTCCTCATGTCCTGGTCCGGGAGCGATCCCCAACGCCTCCTCCACCAGGCGCCAAGTCGTATGTGTTCGAGTTTGAGGTACAGGATACTGGCCCAGGTATACCTGAACACATGCAGCAAAAGGTTTTCGAGCCTTTTGTTCAAGGAGATCTGGGTCTGAGCAAGAAATTTGGTGGCACTGGATTGGGATTGAGTATCTGCCACCAGCTAGCAGGTCTCATGGGTGGTTCTATCAGCCTGCGCAGCACTCTGGGCGTCGGCACAACTTTCAATATGCAGATACCGCTAAAATACGTGAAGGACCGGTGAGTGTTCATCAGCGAAATTCTTACGACGTCACTAATAGTTAGATCCAGAACTTCCAGTACTGCATCGAGCAGTGTGAAATCCCGCCCAGCGAGCGTAGATGCTAGCGACATAGAGCCACAGCGCGTTGCCCCTGGCACCCCGAAGCCTGCAGCTGAAACCAAGTCAGCCGGTGCTCTCAACCCACAACCTCGGTTGGTCGGTTTAAGTCAACCATACTTTGCTGCCGACCCTCCATCTATCAAGAGTGCAGAACAAAAGATGGCTGAAATTGATCGTGCCATTGCCAGTAAGGGTGGCCAAGGCAGGTTACGCGTTCTGGTTGCCGACGATAACTCAACCAACATCGAAGTTGTCAGCCGCATGCTGAAACTTGAGGACGTTTACGACGTGACTATTGCGAAGGATGGCCAGGAGGCCTACGATTTGGTGAAAGCAACAATGGAGAAGAACCAGGCATTCGATGTGATTTTCATGGACGTCCAAATGCCCAACCTTGATGGGCTGCAAAGTACTCGACTTATCCGTGAGATGGGCTACACATCCCCCATCGTTGCTTTGACAGCCTTTTCAGAAGAGAGCAATGTAAAAGAATGCATCGACTCGGGTATGGATGAGTTCCTCGCCAAACCTATCCGACGACCAGCCCTCAAACAAGTGCTGAAGAAGTTTGCAACAATCCCAGAGGAGCCGGAAGATGAGAAGCGTTCCTCTTCGCTAAAACCGAAAGCTAGAACGAATGGTAATGCCATTCAGCCACATAAGGAGGGTGAGAACGGCGCACCACGAGAGAAGCATGGATGAGCACTTCATCCCTGTTTGCAGTGCACATACAGAGTGACTGGTCACGAAGACAGGCCTATTTATGCTAATGGGATAGAGATCCCTATACACCACCTCAACCGACATACATCCCTTACCTATTTGTTTCGAGTTGCAAAAGTCTAGCGGGAGGAATTGTCTTTTTTGGAGTTTGAGTATTTTTCTTATCGAATCTTCCAGGGGGACGCGGATGAGGAAAACACCGCCCCAGTGTCTTTAGGCTTGTCCAGGTTATTTATCATGCGGGTTGACGAGCATCGCGATCTCTCTACCCTCTTTTTTGACTGCATTTCTTGTTTTGGCTATCACATACAGTTGATCGGCGCGCACGTATATAGGCGTACACGTTTTGACCTATTATAGTTATCATTTGCACATGTTTGCGGGTGCTGGAACGAGAACACAAAGGCGGTCCCAGTTACAGCATTGCAAGAGGAGGCATAAGAGGAAGAGAGAGGACAGAAGAAAGAAGAAAGAAGAGGCGTATATACATACTCATGTAATTATATATATACGCATAATACTGTGATGAAGGAAGAACAGAAACTCGTCACTTGACACATTGCAGGGCTTGGTGCGTATTCTCGTTGTGACTCGTTGAAACCAATAGATGGAAGTAGTAGATTTGTAAGAAACGGTCTGACTGTTCTCTTCATTTGTAGCAGAGAGCCATGTAGAGTGAGGCATGTTGTAGGACTAATACACCCACAAGTCAGTGGAAGTGTTGGAGGCTCTAGAGAACTGGAAACGAATCTAGATGCAAAACCACAGCATTCTTTTCACACAAGAAGGCGCAGTGGCAGAGTGGTCTAATGCGATAGACTAGAAATCTATTCTCCTCGGAGGCGTCTGTTCGAATCAGGCCTGCGTCGGTGTATTATTTTTATTTTTTATAAAATTATAAATATTTGTATATACTTGGTGTTGGTGTATAATATGTTTTTCTTTTCGATATCGACCTCAGTCGAAAGACATACAAGTGCCTTGTATAGGTATTATTTAAAGAGATATGGTAATTGCAGCAATACTTTTTATTAACAGGCAGTTTAGCTCAAGGCAAGATATGCATAATTCTTTGGCTGTAAAAATATCCATTCCAAGGCTAATCTACACTTGGCCATCTCTTTCAGGGGACTTTCACCCCGAAAGACTCCCAGCCAACGGGGTCCGAAAGCACCGCCCACTCCGTTGGAGGGCATAAGCCATTGGAAGTATCATTTAGGTAGGTACCTATTTAATCATGGACTCAGAATCAAAGAGACTTCAACTTCCGAGAACGATATAAAAATTAAACAAAAGCTCATAGCTTAGGTCTTTCTTTTTCTCAAGTCATCTAAAGCTAAAGCTGATACAAGCTTTCTATTATCCTGAAATAGGTGAGGTCTTGACATTTTCCTGCAACCCCTAGGATCTAATGGGAATGGGAAGGAGGCGGGCAACAACCTAGGAGCTAGAGGTACGTACCACTTTAACACACACGTAAGGCTTCACGAGCCACAGCGCGACCGCTCCATCCATTCTATCCCCGTCAGCTTCATCCATAAGTCGCATCTTTTTCCCCCCTCCACATATCGACTCCCTTTATCGACAAAAATACCCTCAAATCGCGCAGAAGGAATCGGATTATCTACAAATTCTGACGACGATACAATGGCCGACGAGCAGCCTCGTGGCATCGACCACACTGATTCCATCGATTCGAATGATGGCCCGAAGCAGCCGGACAAGAAGAAGAGCCGTCGCCCTGCGAGTGAGTGTGCCTCACGGATGCGCATCATCTATGCAGAATACGCGCAATACGGGATAGAACTCATATTAATTGATGTCTCGTAGATACTGCCTTTCGACAACAGCGTCTAAAGGCCTGGCAGTATGTCATGACTAACTACCCTTATTCCATCTACTCAATCGCCCCCTCGATACTAATACCATACGACAGGCCTATCCTCACACCAAAGACTGTCCTTCCTCTCTTCTTCGCCATCGGCATTATATTCGCTCCCATCGGTGGTGCTCTTCTATACGCGAGCGCTCAGGTACAACACCCTTGACACGTTGGACTATAGCCGCCAAACCCAATTCTAATGCGCAAACCTAGGTCCAAGAGATCCGACTCGACTACACCGATTGTATTGAGAAGGCTCCCACTCTCGGCAAGGACGGCGGCGGTTTCAGGGGCATGCCAGGCAGTGCTGTCAGCACCGCATTCAAGAGTTCAAACACTTCAGTGAATGCGCAGTGGGCCAAGGAGAGTAACGTCACCGTTAAGCTCGACAATGGTGTCAGCGTCTCGAACCCTCGGTGCCATCTCAAGTTCACCATTCCAGAGGAGATGGGCCCGCCTGTTCTCTTCTACTACCACCTCACCAACTTCTACCAGAACCATCGCCGATATGTCCTCTCCTTCGATACCGACCAGCTCAAGGGCCACAAGCGATCTTACAGCGATATTCATAACTCGGACTGCACTCCTCTGTATGGCGAGGGTAACAAGCCTTACTATCCCTGCGGACTGATCGCCAACTCCATGTTCAACGATACCTTCTCCAGCCCTGTGCTCTCAAACCCTCCCAAGGCCAACACTAATGATACGTGGGTGTACCATATGCAAAACAACACGGGGATCTCATGGGATAGTGATAAGGATCTCTACGGCCAGACCCAGTACAACTACACTGACATCCTTCCCCCTCCCAACTGGCACGATCGCTACCCCGACGGATACACCAAGGAGACGCCTCCTCCCAATCTCAAGGAATGGGAGGCTTTCCAGGTCTGGATGCGGACTGCTGGTCTTCCTACTTTCAGCAAACTGTACCAGCGCAACAACACTCAGGCTATGTGGTCTGGGACCTATGACCTAGTGATTGACTACCGTAAGTTATTGTTTCTTCATGTTGAGCAAGCATATCTAACCTCGATATAGGCTTCCCTACGCTTAAGTACAAGGGCACCAAGTCCGTTATCATTTCTACTCGAACCGTCGTTGGAGGACGCAATCCCTTCCTCGGCATCGCCTACGTTGTTGTCGGTGGTGTTTGTATTGTTCTCGGCACCGTGTTTACAGTTACTCATCTTATCCGCCCCAGGTTTGTCCCTTCCAGCCTGACACTCGTCCTTCTGCTAAATCAATCATAGAAAACTTGGAGATCACACTTATCTCTCATGGAACAACGCCCCTGGTGCAAAGTCTGGTCCTAGCACTGCCGTCGCTTCGGGTCGCGAACTCCGTCCTGGCGAAGCTTAGACAGCTCGCGACGACTCGCGCGCTCTTCTCGCAGCCCCTATAAGCCCATCTCCCGCGTCTTTCAGATCACCGCCCAGTGCTTCAGGTGGTCTCCTGGCCCCTCATTGGTCTGCACCATTCTAACTCGCGTACATCATCGGGGTTATGAATTAATCAACACTCACGGGCTGGTAGATGCCGTTCTGAGAAAGTGCTTTTGATCATATTCACTTTTTTGTTTATCACGTTTCTCGATCATACGTCTTGTTGTGTTTCTGTACGACTACTCATTTTTGCGGTCTCCAACTGTTGCTTTACTTTTGGTTTCGGGATACTTATATCCTCAACATTGGTCTCTTAACGCGTGCTATGTTGGCCTCGTGTGCCCTTCACCGAGCAGGTACCTGTCCTTTTGAAAAAATATAAGGAAACGGGAAGGGGAAAGAGCAAGGATTGTGTTTGCTTCGTACTTATCTTTATATGGGTAAGGAGTTTGGGCGTGTTGCGACTCGGGAATAAGGATAGAATGAATTGAATTACCTATACACACTTCAGAGTCCCATGACGATATGACGCTTAGCAATGGATGCCATGGTACCTCTGAGATGTGGCTGGTTGTCACAGAACAACAATCATATGATGCGAAAAGTATAGTCTAAAATTGCTCAAAATCATGAATTATCTTAACTTATTGTGACTGATACAACTGCCCTTAACCCATCCTGACCACCTCGAAATCGATGAGCGAAGGACTATAAAAATCTCCCCACCCAGACCAGCTATTTCAGATATGATGTTCTCCTACCTGCATGGTCCCTTCAAGGAAGTCGAGGGCCTGCAGCTAAACGTAAATACCAACTAGGAAAATTGTATGTTTTAGTACAAATGGTGAAGCAACCAACCAGCGTCTCCTTGTCCCAAGTTCACGCCGAAAATATCATCTTCTCACCCGAAACTCAGTCATCATGTCACCGTTAGCGCTTGCGCTTCTTCTTGCCGCCGCGGTCTTCATCCTCCATGGCACTCTCCCGATCGCGCTTCTTGGCCTTGCGCTCGAGCTCGTCCCAATCCTCACCCTCTTCGTCACTGTCGAGCTCTGCATCTTCATCGTCATCGCTTGCATTGCTGCCGAAATCGGATCCTTCGTCACTAGATTCAGACTCCTCATCGAATTCGTCCTCGTCCATCTCGAAGGCCGATTCTTGCTCAGACTCACCCTCGCCATCATCATCGTCAGAGTCAGCTTGCAGGAAGGACCAACCACCATCAGCAAAGAACTGGTGGGTGTCTGCAGTGACTGTCTTCATGATAGTGGGCCAGTTGAGGTTAAGAGGACCTTCTGTGTAGGCGATATCGGAGGAGTCGAGCCATTCCTTGACCTGATCGAGGAACTCGACGGGAATAGTGTTGACGTGGTAAGGGGGTCGTGTAAAATCCTTGAAGACAAAGACCATATCAAAGTTCTTCAGGCCGAACTGAACACGTTCCAGGTGGGCAATTTCAACTTCCTCGATGGTGATGACCATAAAAGGAGGCTCGACAACCTGAATGAGGCAGTCCGTGGTAGGTTGAACAAAGACATTGCTTCGGAATGGTACACCGTGGAAACCAAGATCGCGAACAGGCATATCGACCTCAATACCTTCGTTGCGACCAGCCTCGGCAATCTTCTGAGCAAAGCCTTGGAACAGTCGATCCAACTCGGCTCTGCGACGTCGTTCCTCTTGCTCTGCCTCGAACTCATCCTCGTCACCGTAACGGTACTTTCGCTTGCGGTTACCCGTCTCATCAAACTGAATGTCTGTGGCTTCTCGGTAGAACTGAACATCCTTCGTCTTCTTCTTGTTGCCAACAATGATTGGGTCCTTGAGATGAATGTGAATGATAACAATCAACTCATGCTGGCAAGGTTGGAAGAAAAGGTGCTTGACGTTGGAAAATAGCACATCCACTCGGTGTTGTGCGTTGAGGGGTGAGATATATCGAATACCGTTCTGGTGAATCTCGACCTTTCCCGGTACTCGCTTGCCTTCCATAGCTGGACGGATATAGACGTTGTCCAGCACAGCTGGTCGTCGGTCTGATGTTGGTTAGCATCGATTGATCTGAAACATGTTCAGCTTTGACTTACTCCTTATCTCGACGAGTTTGTCCTGCTCGACGACATCCTCCATGTCCTTCTTCTCCTGCTCCTTCTTAACCACATCGCGCTTCATGTTGGAGATCTGAGTCGCTATTTCATTGTATCTCTCACCATCAGACGATCGGAAGGTCAAACTTCGGACAAAGTGCGCCGATGCATCTTCGAAGGGCTGGTCATCCTTTCGACCTACGCCCTGACCAGGGGAAAGGAAATTGATACGCAGGAATGCCCAATCACCCTCGTCACTTTTACTCGCGTTCTTGATAGTGTTGATGTGGAAAGGCACAGGGCGGCCCATGATGGGCAAAACGACTGTGTTGTTCTTGATATCGACAACAACCTCAAGGTTCTTGATCTTGCTGGGAAACTGATTGTCTCTCTTGTAAGACTCGAAACGCTTGAACTTCTTGACCTCACCACCGTTCTGGCCACTTGTGGATTCTGAAAATCTGGCGAGGCCCTCCCTTTGCTTCCTCGCTGCAAGTTCCTTCTGATGCTCACGTCGCTTCTTCTCAAGGTCGTCGTTAGCGACTTGGGTTGTGCGTTCTGAGCGAAGTCTTGTGCTTGTGATATTCTTGGTCGCAACGGCACCAACTCGCGAGTCCTTCTTCTCCTTCTTAGGGGCAGGCTCTGCTTCTTCATCATCCTTGAAGAAGAACGAGTTGGCATCGGCGCTTGTTGGGGCCTCAGCCGTAAACACCACGGGCTCTGCCGAAGTGACTCGAATGGTGTCGGTCAAGACGAGCGCATAGATCTTGCTGTTCTTGTCCTGGGGGGACGGGTTCTCGATGTCTTGGAACCCGGTGTTGATGATAAGAGTCATGCCGTCCTTCAGAACCCGCTGGTTCTTGGCGTTGAGAATCAAGGTAGGGTCCTTGTTCTCCAACCCAATACCCCAACCAACGTTCTTTAGGAAATGCTTCTCCATATCTGGCTTCTTGCTCTTTATAATGCTGATAGCTCTGCCATAAACCTCTTTTGCTGTCATACCATCACGGATCTCCTTGATGATAGTGTTGTGGATGAGAGTAAGAAGCTTATAGTTGCTCTCCTGAGACTTATTGGGGTCGACGAGGTAAGTTCGTGCGATGGTAGAGCAGTATGACTTATATCGAAGACCCATGGCGGCAATGATGATGTTCGCGTGAAGATTGTCGTCGTTGGGTTCACCAGCAAATCGAAGATCATACTTGCCACCACTCTGGATCGACGGTCCCAGAATCCAGTCCAGCTGAGCGGGATCGAGGTCCGAGGGAAGCTTGCCCTTGCTAGGCAACTCGACTGACTTCCAGAATTGGTTGTCGTCGAGTTTCTTGTCAACCTTGTCGGCGAGTGCGGAGTGTTTAACTTTCTTTTCGGCATCGAGGATGTTGGACATTTCGTCGAGGAAGTAAGGGGTCATCAAGGCAACACAGGCCTTGGAGGCGGTTCGCATGGCTCGGAGTTCGCTCTCGTCCTTAACGGCAAAGGCGTAGGTAGAAAGGGCGGCGGAAATATCGACCTGGGTCACATCCTTGCATTGCTCGTTGAACAGCTTCTTCCACTCATCGACGAAGGGTCCTCGGGAGGTGTCTTTGGCGATGGTACCGACCTTATTCTGAAACGCATTGTTAGAACCGAATGGAAATGAATTCTCAACCGACTTACTCCTGCCTCCTTAATCTTATCGGCAAGCTTAATGAAGAGCTTCTCGTTCTCGGCGGCATCCTTGCCTCGCACAAGGACTTCGATCGGAAATCGGCCTCCCTTCAGCTGTTCGAGATGCTTGGCTAAACTCAAGTCAGTATGAGTCATTTTCTACAGGCAGAAATGCGGTCGCACCTTTCTTCGCTGTTGTGAGAATGTACAATGTGTCCAGAGTGAACAACATAAGGGTTGTGGGAAACTCGTATCCAAGAAGCCAAAACTATAATATTGTTAGTACATCCATATCGCATTCGTTTCGAGTCGTCCTGGGATCGCATACGTGAATCGCGTTATTCTTGTGAAATTCGGGGATCTCCTCAACCTTGCCCATCATCACAATGAGGGACTGAGCGCCGTTGAACAGGCCATCCTTGGAGCGCAGGTCATTCTTCCAGGCAGTAACAAAGTGGGAGATGCGCTCCTGGAAGAGCTTGCTGTCAATCTTGATCTCGGCCATCGTCTCTGATGGGATCGCGATCGAGAGTGACGGGGGGAAAGCTGAAGGGATAAAGAGCTGATGACGGGAGGTTGCGACGACGCGAGAAAAAGTGAGGTCGCGTTAATGATCCAAGCTGGAGCTCCCTGTCACGTGATCTTACACAACGCGTTCCTTGGGTGACTGATGATCCAAGTTATTATGGTGAACAAAACACAATGAATTAACCGGGGCAGGTCAGTCCAAAGCCACTAACAGGCAAAGTTTGTCTCAGTCTCTTCTGCCTTGTTTGTTTGTGAGCTCTTTATTCTTTTGGGCCTTTTTCGTGCATATCAAAAGAGTGCAAGTTTCGAGAGACGCAAGTCCGTCAATACGCAGGCAGAGTTGGTGGAGCAACTAAGTCAAGCTACATCTCGAGATGATGGTTCGTGAAGATGAACAATAAACCCTCTTAAAGACGTGGAAATTTGTCGTTCCCTTTCTTGTGTGAAACTAGAATGCACCGCAAGTCTGTGAAGTCATCTCTTTGAATGTAATTTTAAACTTCAGCGCATCCATTGCCTCTTAACGCCTCTTCCCATCTGAGGTTCCGTACATATATAGAGCTTTACATCCAGTAGTGGAGTAATGCCCATGCTATTATTTCAAGACTGTAACAACAAAATACCATAGCTGATCATGTTTATCGTTTAATATCATTAACGACAGGAGAGAAGAAGGTGAAGAGTATGCGAGAATAAATAGAGAGCATGTACAGTTACTTTTGATCCAGCCATCAGCTCAGTACATAATCATCATCAAATAAACCTGTATATAGTATTCGTCACTTGACAACTCAACACACTGAGGGCCGAATACAATTCTAAAACTCTAGAGATTCAATCTATGGTCTGGAATAATTCCGAGCTCAGTACCCGAGGCTTAGAGGAACCGCTTTTCTACCATGAATTTACCATGATTGAGGCCGCGGAATGAATTATCCCAAATATCTACGACTTACAGTCCGATCCTTATATCCAATATGATTGATATAGGAAACTTCTTATTTTCTTTCCGGCGGGTTTTAGACTTGCTACTTTTTACATCCGCATAATCTAGAAACATCAAACGTCAAATGCCGGAATTAACCTCCGTCTGTCGGCGCCGGTTTTCGGGAAGTGGAGTCGGGAGTTGCGATTCAAACCCGACCCCGCGCATGCCCGGGTGAACATATAACCAAACGCGAATACCATACCTCTTGTATAACTTTTCTTACAACTTGCCCTCTTGGCCTCGTTTCCTCTATAACCTATACGACAAGCATCGTTTTATGTTAACATTATCTCTCTCAACGCTCTCATATTCATATCGACTTACACCAGACTATCCGCCATCATGAGAGTCCCTTACGTATCCAACCCTCCTGAGACCAAGTCCGAGGAGCATGCCGCTATTGTAAAGCGCATAGAGGAGCGTCGTGCCCCTCGGCCTCTCCAATCTCTGGACTTAGCTCTTCTTCACTCACCTCACGTTGCTGATGGCTGGAACTCATTCCTCGGCGCTGTTCGTACCAAGACCTCTCTAAGTGACGACATTCGTGAGCTTTCAATCTCACGTATCGCTGTGTGCAACAAGGCCTGGTACGAATGGAAGCACCATGCGCCGCTAGCTGTCAAGGGTGGTGTGTCTGAGGCTGGACTGGAGGCTATCAAGGGGGAGAACCTTGGTGAGCGACCTGCTGAGCTATCAGAGAAGCAATGGTCTGTACTGCTGTACACCGATGAGATGACGAGGAACGTTCAAGTCAAGGATGAGACTTTTGATCGTCTGCGGGAGTATTTCAACGAACAAGAGATTGTGGAACTGACAGCCACGGTAAGACAGTCCCTTGTCCCTCTGTACTCATCAAACTTGACCTGACACCAACAGGTTGCGTGTTACAACTGTGTAAGCCGTTTCTTGGTGGCACTCGACGGTAAGCTAACGTCATAAACTGATTTTCCTCTAACTAGAACTAACAATACTACAGTCGGGGAGAGAAATGGTACCGGTCCCGAAGCCATCTCTGGTCATTGATAGACAGTTGTGTCCTGCAAATTTCCAGGAGTAGTAGCAAAATGAAAAGAAGAAGCATGTCTTGATCATGAATAGTGATCCATAACCCAAAAACAAACAGAGTGGAAGAAACAACCGTCCTAAGGAAATACCACGACTTAAGGCCGCGGGAAGGGGGTATCATCCCATCTACAGAAGTGAAGTGAAACTACTAATGAACCAAACTCCTCATAAACCAAGCCTCCAAGGCCCCATCCTAGCCAAGCCAACCCATCGTTAATCATTGCTCATTCAACCATGCTTCCTGTGGTTGCAGTGAGTGTCCGCTGTCATGTCGGACTATGCTGTTTTGTAAATATGTTGGCGGCCACCTGGCCGCACTAAGAACGCCGTATAATGAGGACTGTGTAATGTCCATGCTGTATCGTCGCACTGGACAACCTGTAAAGAGTTATGCCGTGTCGCTGTAACCAGAAACCAAAACGTAAAGAAATCATAAGTCTAAGACCAAACCGATGCTTCAAGATCACGGTGACTTGGAGTATGACCTTGACATTGCGCGCTCAATCGAAGCATGACGTTGATGCATTTTAGGCGATGTTTGTAGCTCCTGGACAACTCCCGCCCAGCCCTTGCGACTGGGTTTTGGTATGGGCTCCGGGTGATTAACGAGAGCCTGGGTGGTCAAACTGCGCAAGGGAGGACGGTTGCTGATACCCTCCATTAAGCCTTTAGGAAGAGCAGGACGAGTTGGAGTCTTAAAAACGGGTAATTTTTCTAGATCCCTTGCCGTAGGTAGAGGGGGTGGAGGCGGCGGCGCAGAGGGTTTCTCATGAGCAGTGGTGCTTGTTTGTGATGCGACGACGCCCATATAAACGACAAGGAAGCGCATGCGTAGCATGTCGAGCCTACGAACCCGATCCTCTAACCTCGATCGCTTCGACGCCCATAACAGTCTGGCGGAAGTCTTTAGCTTGGTGGTGTCCTCCTCTATCACCACGCCATTGATGTCCTCGCGCAAATCATCGCCCGTCTTCTGGATCTCCCTAATGAGCCGTGTCAAGCGGATCTTATCATCAAGGCGCTGCACCTTTGCGACGTCACGATCATAGCTCTCGTTCTCCTGAACGGAAAAGTCGGCAGTATCAAGAAAGGTTGCAATCTCGAGAGGCGCCGCTTGGTACGCGGCCGTGTAAGAGGAGATGATCTGGACGAGGACAATGAGGGACAGAATGACAGCGATCAGAATGAGGATGATAGTCCACTGGAGCAGATTGAACTCGGCCATGGTTGAACGGAGCGTCTAGATGGCAAGTCGAGGCGGAGGGTGAAGCTATCGCGCATGGTCCTTGGGAAGTTGTGTGTTTGTGGGAGAGAAAAGGGAGAGAAGGGGAAGAGGCGCACACAATATGCAGGTGAAAGGCAAGGGACATGAGCGATGACGACGGGAAGAACAAGCGCAAGCGCAACCAAATCCAACAACCCCAACAATCATGCTGTACAGTACTGTACCTTAACCTATCAAAGAGAACCTGCGCGTTTGTGTGCGCTCTAATTAACTAATAAAGGCACCTAGTTTCTAGGCTCATACACAAGCCGAGCTTCCATATTCGTGCTGGACCACTTGGTGCAGATAGATGGCTGGGGATCGAGAAGAACCCCCCTGCAGGTGCATCTGCAACTAACGATAGCCCTTAGAGACAGGGCAGTCAGTCATCACATGGTCATGGCCAGTCCAGTGGGATGTGATGCGCGACTTGATGGCGTTGTAGTTGTCTGGCTGATACTACTTTGCATGGCTTCTAAAAACGGGTAAGCTTGAGGTACCGTGATGGCGATGTACGTGGAAGTACCGGGCGGAAGAAACGGTCAAGATGGTATCTGGTGATGCTGACTGATGGTGGTTTACACAAAACGCCTCACCCGCTTGTATAAGGTACTCAAGAACAATACGTAGCCATCACAACTTGTTAATGTCATAGTTTAAGAGTATGCACCACAAGCCTGCTCAAGATTGGCAGCATCCAAAAAACTAATGCTGCGTTGCCGAACCGTCCAGCGGGTTTTCACATTGCATTGGCGGACTGGATTGCATTCCGAGTGGGTTTATCTGCAGGTTGAGTATCATCATCGGTTGGATGTGACCAATTCTCGCAGGACACTATGCTAGGCTTATTTGAGTAGTGTCTTGGCTCCTTAGAGCGCCCAAGCCCATAAGAGCATGGATATTGAGGTCTGGAATTAGGGTTAGAAGAAGGGTAGTACCTTGGTGGATCAAGTCTAGGGCTTGTGGAGGAGGAAGAGAGCTGAAAGACATTAGTTTGTTGAGGTGAAAGTTATGAAAGTCATGTATCTTTGAATAAGTCACCGACGATTAAAATCATGGAGGAGTAAAGAGAAGTTGGCTGGGTTGACGTTGTGATCATAAGTCGGAATAAACTTGATTCGTTACAGAAGGCTTTAGCCGCTGTCAGTTTGGCACCCAGTAAAAAGTTCGCGGGCCGTTGAAGGCGCGAGTGAAGTGGTACCAATTATTCCTCTTCTCTCCTCTCCCTTGTCCCCTCCATCCATCCAAGCAAGGCAAGACAAGGTTCTGACATTCCACTGACTTCATCGATGCCCTGTACCTGCGCCAGTCTTGCAGCTTATCAGAATCATCAGATCTTTCTCCACTGATATCGCCTGTTTCTGCACTCTCCATTACCAGCATCATCCTTCTGCTCCCTAGAGCCCTCAACAATATTAAGAACCTACTCATGGCGACTACTACAGCGACGGTGACGGCCGACCCCGCGCCGCAAGCGCATCAGTTTCCCCTCCCAAAGATCCTCGAATACCCCGCGTCGACCCCGCCAATCCTCATCGCCCAAGGTGCCGAGGGTCGCCTCTACAAAACCACTTACCTATTACCCGATATTCCCTGCGCCCTCAAGTATCGCCCTCCTAAGCCCTGGCGTCACCCGATTCTTGATCAGCGGCTCACGAAACACCGGATCCTTTCAGAGGCCCGCATTCTTGCAAAGTGTCGTCGCGATGGTGTCCGTGTGCCCGCTGTGTATGCCGTGGATGAATCTGCTGGGTGGTTGATGCTGGAATGGATATCTGGAGGACCTGTTCGAAAGAGCATCAATGAGCGCTTAGGGAATAGAACTGGGGGTATAGAGAATGATGCTGAGCTGAAGGACCTCATGCGAAGGATCGGCACTGCTATCGGCAACATGCACAAGGTCGGCATTGTCCATGGTGACTTGACCACAAGCAATATGATGTTGCAACCCCCAGCTAACCCCCAAGATTGCAATGCCTTACATGGAGAATTGGTTATTATCGATCTGGGCCTTGCGAGTGGAAGTATATCAGACGAAGACCGGGCGGTGGATCTCTACGTTCTAGAGAGAGCATTCGGTAGCACACATCCAAGAGCAGAGTGTCTCTTTTCAGAGGTGCTCGAAGCCTACGGCCAGACCTTTAAACAGGCCAAGATTGTTCTCAAGAAGCTAGAAGATGTGCGGATGAGAGGTCGCAAACGAAGTATGCTCGGGTAAACAAAAAGAAAAACAGAAAAGCCGCCTTGCAGCCAATTTCCCTACCATAGTGTCTAAACTCCGTGTATCTGATGCTCGCTGTTTTGCAAAAAAAAACAAATGGACAAATGATGCCGCCACATTCCATCATATGTGGCTTGAGATCCAAACATGCCAGAAACCCATTGGCTCACCATGTCTTCCTTTTCTCTTCCTTGTCTTTGTCTTCTTCTTTCCTTTCTTTCCTGGCCGTGAAGGAATTGTCCAACTATGGTGCCACCAGCTCCGCTCCAGCAAAATATCCCTTATTCTCTATGACGCCTCGATCCTGTACGAATGCTGTGTATCGCACTACCCATTCAGGAACAATCTCTCCAGTCAAACCCGAACCGTTGTTACCGGGATCGGCAAGGAGACCAGCGCCTTTCGGCCCGTGACTAAGAAGTTCTCGAAGAGTGCCGTGAGGGAGAATATCGATACAGTCGTTGTGAACATGCAATTCCACGCTTTCTTCCTCAGCTAGCTTTTTCAGCGGAGGTGGAACATCGCAGCAGTTTCGCAGGTTGATCTGGTCAATGACGGGTCGGACGCTCGCACGCTTAATGAAAGCGCCAAGTTTCTCGCTACCAAACTCGGCCACGGCAAGACGCTTCAAAAGGCCTTGCTTGTGCAGGCCCTCGAATACCTTCCAAGTCGCAAGCTCCTCTTCAAGGTTCCCCTGTTGGGCATTGGTCTTGTCCGCCTCCCATTCACAGTTTCCTTCGAACGAAATGCCAGGGAAAGATACAATCAGGAGATCGATGGTCTGGATGCCGAGTTCTCTCCGGACCAAGTCCAGAGCCTCTTTGACATGTTGCTCGCGAGCAGCTACTGACATGCCTGGGAGAACAAAAAACTTGACAGTGATCTCATACTGACTGGGTTCCTCTTGTAGGCCCGCGGCGTTCCAATTAATGCGAGGAACGTATAGCACATCGCCTTGTTGTTCAGTCCAGAGGTCAACGGCTGTGTGCTTGCCGTTGGGCGTATCGCCGTTCGTGAAGCCGTTGGTTTCTTGCGCATCGATCGCATAATCGCGCTGAGCCTCGGCGATGTTGTCACGTAGAGAATTTACGAGTTCGAGGTTGGATCTATTGTTGCCGGGTTTACGAATAATGGAGGGGCCTGCCAACATGACATTGCTGTCGAGAGGGGTTTTGTAAGCATCCATTAAAACTGTACCGAAGTCAGATAAATACATACGCCGTAGATAGAATAAGTCTCGTCATGGTGAAATTATGTGAGATAACTGGAAATACTAAAATATGAGGGAGATAATCCCAACAAACAAATGAGAAGAGAATGGTTCGAGGAGAGACTTTTAGTAGACAAGAGGGAAATTTTCGCCGTCGGGGTCTTCGAGGCGTAAACTCGGAGACACCAGTATTAAACCTGCAGACCAAAATAGTCTATCCCAAGGCGCGCCCACTGCTGAAGTACGTGGGGTAAAGCAGATAGCTTAGTAATGTCTATTTGTTCGAGGTCAAAGTTAATAATCACAAGCGAGGTTTGAGGTTTGTGTAAGGTAATGAATTTACTGTATTTATGTTTGTCATGGCTGCAAATATCGAATCATGGGTAGATCAGAAGTGAGTGAGAAGACTGGCTCTGAATGGCCGCTGAAAACGTTTAGGACCTGACATCAGTGGGAGCGCATAGTCGCGTGCTTGACAAGTGAGATGGCCAATTCATGACATAGCACCCATTACCATTTCTTTCACGTCAAGGTCGGAGATTCTTTTATCGTCGTCTGTCGTACGTGGGGTTTTAAGTAGGCATAAAGCATGTCGGCACTATTTGGCCTACTAGTCCCCCTTAAATAAAGGTGCAAAATCACGCAGTGGCTTCCAATCACAATTGAATAGGCTTGTTCAATCATCATCATTGGAGACAAGCTCGAACAGAATAACTCCAGGGAGAATAACTCGAGTTAACTTTAGCTTATCCTAGTTAACCTTAGATGGCGCCTGGCGCTCTTCTCGGTGTAGCAGTGTAGCCACTGAAGTGACCCGCTGACTCCCAAGCCCCGTCAGCGCTGAGAGGGGATCTAGGCCTAGCCCAGTAGGCGGATTGGCTGGAGCCTGGACCACCTTACCTCACTTCATCATTGGACTTGCCTGCCTGAGCCAACTCGTCACCAACCCGCCAAAATTGCTTCGTGTCCACCTTGAAGCCAGAATTGTTTCCTCCGTCATCCTTCGAAACCTCTCTCTGCCTTTACCTGCACGCCTCTAAGGAGGCTCGATAGACCATCATGGCCATTCAGTACGCTTTTCCTTGGCAGATCAACTTTTTCCGCCTGCTGACCGAGAACTAACTACAGATATCTCATTCTCCTATCCCGTCAGGGCAAAGTGGTATGTCTGGTTACTCACATGCGCAGCTTCAATAACACTGACTAGCCATGACAGCGCCTTGCCAAATGGTTCACAACACTCTCCCCCAAGGATAAGGCCAAGATCGTCAAGGATGTATCTCAGCTTGTGCTCGCTCGAAGAACGCGCATGTGCAACTTTCTCGAATATAAGGGTCAGCTTCCTAGCCCCTTTGTTTTGATGATGACCTTGAGCTGATCATCAGCATAGATACAAAGATTGTCTATCGCCGATATGCATCACTCTTCTTCATTGCCGGATGCTCTTCCGAAGATAACGAGCTGATCACCCTCGAAATTATCCACCGATACGTCGAACAGATGGACAAGTACTACGGCAACGTTTGCGAGCTCGACATCATCTTCTCCTTTACCAAGGCATACTATATCCTCGACGAAATCCTCCTCGCCGGCGAGCTGCAGGAAACGAGCAAAAAGAATGTTCTTCGCTGCATCGGCCAACAGGACTCCCTTGAAGACATGGAGGTAAGTCATAACCAGCTTGATAAACTATGAAGTTTTGTGATAGCCCGGCAACCTACACCCACCCACCCGCCAAATCGTCGCAAGACAGCTGACGCCAAGCCTCCAACAAGGTCGAGGACGAAGTTACAAAGATCATGTAAACCTCCTTGACGACCTTTTAATTGCTGCCCGACATCAATCCGGCACCGCTCCCGAAGCGTCGGATCGAGGCGACCGATCAATACCTACCAAACGATTTTATATGAGTTACAGTATATTCACTGGCCGAGAATTAACTTTGGTTCAACAGGCCGACGAACAAGTATTGGCGTCGCTCAAGGAGTCAGGAATTCTGTAATGGAAAAGTCTCAGGCGGCTGAGCATCTCTTCGATGGGAAGAGAGGACACGTATGTTTGCATCGTGGGAACTGGCGCAGATGGTGTTTTGGGAGTCTCTGGCCGAGATGGCCTTGTTTTGTAGATCTTTGACGGTGGAAAACCACCTTCTTTCATATCAAGAGATGAGGCCTATGGGCGATGGTGTTGCGACAGCTACGACGGGCAGTGCAGAGAGATTGTCTCCAGGCTTCGATCCGTTATCGGCCAAGCGTCGACGCAACAGTGAAAGGAGATCGAGCCTCGAACAACGATGTGTGATAATAACAGCAATGATCATCATCAGAGGCTGCATCCCACTGAAGATAGTCAGGCCTGGCATGCTGGGTTTGCTCTTATGCTTATCGAACCCGAGATCAACCGCACTGCTCCGTCGCAACACCTCGACCCGCAACCGGAATCAAGAGAAAACGATTGACCTCATATGCTTGTTTCTGTTTCTGTTTCTTGTTTCTCCAATTTCCAACTGACGTTAGATGTTGACTGAAGATGGATCTGGTCCATTATTCAAAGGGGATGGGCCATATCATCCTAGCGCTCGACTGAACCGCGTGGTTTCGGGATTCAGTCCCATTCGCTATCGTTGATCAATCGTGGGGAGTTGGTGTCAGAGCATTCCCCTTATTACGATACGCCAAACTTACGCATTTGGATCTTCGAACACCAGATCGTAATTAAGGACATGTGCGAAACGATTGGATTGTAAGTTGGCACTAAAGAACAGATCGAAATAGAGACCCTGAGGTTTGTCTCATGAGAGCCAAAGGATGAAGCATGAGGCTTACAGGGGGTCTCTTGGCTCCCGTCAACTTGGCTTAACTGGCAGTACCGAGAACTGGCGCGATCCCCGAAATTCTTCAACATTGGTCGGACAAGGGCCGGGACCGGTCTAAGCTTAGCCCAGCTCAACTCAGCTCTCAGCAAAAGTGACTGATTTTGAGATCCCGTGGCTGGCTGCAGCAAAGGATCACACCAGATTTGAGTGGGTTCAAACGTCTTTGTTTGACAAGAACGCAACGCAACACGCAACTCAACGCTACGCAATGCAAACGAGAGACAGAGTTACCGTTCATCCGCTGACCTCAGACAGCCCATCATAGGCCGTCCCATACTAATCCAACCATCCTATCCCCAAGCCGGCCAATCCCATTACCTCAAAGCCTATCCATCCATTCAATTACAGCCCCCTCAGTCAGTCATCCTGCGTTTCCTTGGTCTTATTAACTTGGTTTCCTATCTACTTGCTTTTATTGCTTATTCGCATGCGTGAATCAACTCAAACCCAGCCCTGTCACTTGCTTATCTTCATCCAACACTTCCCCCTCTCATCATCAATTGAGTCGACCAGGTTCTCGGCAATCTCCTGTCCAATCTTGATCAGTGCCTATTATTATCTTCCGTCATTGCCATCCAATCTCTTTTTATCTCCGGTCTTTTAGATTCGCAGGGTCCTTGCCGGCTGCACTCTATCTCCCACGTACAGTACCGAACCTACCCCCGATTACTCCGTCCAGGGCATTAAAAGTTACCACCGCGATTTAAGTTCCTGACCTCGCCCCTCCCAAACTGTACCTGCTCCTGACTCCGGCGATCTTTAATTCCCGACTTCCTTCCGCCCACTCTCAATCATCCTCACCCTCACACTCTTATTCCCCCTCTTTTCTCCTCAATCATCAATACCTCGTATCGCCGCCATATCGATTGTCGCAACCGATATCGACACCGCATTTTATGATATCGGCTATCGTGCGCTTACCGCCATCTCTTCCGTATCGCGACAACTGTCACCTTCCGACTCCGGCCCACCGCGACTCCACGCTGACGCAATCTGTTCCCTTGACTGCTCCCTCAATCAGTCAGTCGCATCACGCATATACGACTCAGCGCATCAAAACCGCGACATTTTCGCCGCAGGATCGACCCCAAACTGCCCTTCCGCCTCCAAGATGAAGGTAAGCGACCCCAGGACCCCACGGCGACACCCCCTCGTCCGACACATGCTAACGCGCGCATCCAGTATCTACCAGTGCAAGACTTCGAAGCGGTGACGAGCGCACTGAATTTCAACACACCCGACTGTAGCGTGACAGGCGGATGCGATCTCTACACAACGAAATCAACAGGTTCTGACAAAAAGCTTTACAAAAACATCGACAACGATCTGAACTCGCAACATGAAGCCCTTCTCAAGCTCGGCGCCAGCCTATCACCGCCTGAGCGTGCTCACATGCTTGCAACATCACCGAGCATGCAACTGTTTTCACACTCAAGTGCTTTCGGCCCCTTGTCTGAGCTCTCGAGTCGCAAGACATTTGCATACCTCATCGCGACGCTGAATGCGAGTCACCCACACTACGATTTCTCTCATGTCCTTAGACCCAACGACTTCAAACGCGAGCGAAACCTGCGCCGCGTCATGATCAATCTCGATTCAATTCTCCAGAACGTAAGACCTAACTTCGAGCCCAAATCTCTCGGTTCTTCGCTAGGCAGCGAGACAAGCTCGATATGGGGCCCCCAATGCTGGGCATTGATCGACAAGGAGATGCACCTCAACGAGTGTACTATTTTCAGCTACAACCCCGAAAGCGACCCCTTTGAAGAAGACGAGAGTGCAATCTGGGCTTCACACTACTTCTTCTTCAACCGCGCCTTGAAACGAGTCGCCTATCTCTACGTCCGCGTCGTCCCAGTCATCTCATCTCATAGCCCAACTCTCCGACCCACAAATCTGGCCAGGAACCACAGCAACCAACGAGATCTCGAATCAGCTGGCGCGCAAAAACGTGCCAACTACTGGCTTGGTGATCAAGATGCTGAGTTGGTGCCGTATAATGAGGACGACGAGGAGCTCAATGACGACGGGCTTTTCTGGAATCGCGGAGAGAACGGAGATCTTGTTGCCTATTCAGACGAAGACTTCGACGAGGATATTGAGGACATGGACATGCTCGATAGCAGTCCTGACAGATCTATGAGCGATGATGTTGCGGGTCGCATGGAGATCTAAGGTCGATTTGCTCCAAATCATCATGATGGATCGACTGTTTAAGAAACGACCTTTTCGGTTTGAAATCGATCGTCAGCCACATTTCTCTGAAGCCATCATTTGCTGCATTCTTTCAACATTCAACACTATCCTAATCTCAACTAGGGTTGCTCGATACCAACAAATCGAGACCAAAGAAGCTAAACAGCACACGACTCTTGCTTCGCTTTTTTATATTTCACGGACGTTCTCGCGCTATGCTCTTTCCTTTCGACATGTCATTTGCTTAGTATGAAAGTGTGAGGCCCGGTTAGGCTTCTGGTCGGTGAGAGCGGCTGGAAATCCGCTACATGAGGCGTTTCCGGGGTCTGCTTGTCAACCTGCTATTTCCTGGAGATGATTGCGGGTTTCTCTGTTCTAATTATTGGACCTTTTTTTTCCTTTCTTTTTTTCGAGCACTGTTATTCTATATCCTTTTACCTGGGTTTGGCTTTGGCTGCTTTTGATTGGATTACCGCCTGACATGGCCATGCCTGGATGTATGATGAGAAATCATTGCTCGGTATCATCTCGTTTGGGAACGGCATGAGATGATTGCTGGCGCTGGCGGGATGGGAATTCGGTTGAGAGTAACGAACTGGTTTTACGGTGATGATGTACATGATGGGTTGGGGGATGCATGCCATGGGGTAGTCAGGCTGGTAATTGCTTTGACAACGATACTGCAAATTCATGATTTCAAGTTTCCAATAACTTTACTCGTCAGTCCTGAATAAGTACCTTACTTGAAAGTGTTCATTATTTCCTCGAGTTTGGTCGAGAGCAAGGCTGTGCGTAACAGGATACGTTGTATCAGATAATATGAGGCGAACAACTGTACATACCTTGGGTACATTCGGTATGTAAAAGTCAAGCATTCAAATCTGACTTGAACTGTATTTGATAACATGAGTTTGCGGTTGAGTCTGGTGCTAGATGTGTGTTACGTGTTACGTATATAGAAGCTATATATAAATCCATCCTAATTTGTGTATCGACTACCGTTATGGAACTTTGATTTTATCAGGCTGTTCAAACAGTGAAGCATCCCACGAAGATATTGCATTAATAGTATGCCATGTTGCTTCTCGATGGTACATATTTGAGTCCTTTGTGGGTTCTTTGTTGGTTTGATTTTTGGTGGCGAAGGCGTTCTCGTAGGTGACTGGATATGTATATGTAGCTGTGTTACTTCCGGGGTTACCTCGAGGGTTCACAAAGGATAGTTACTCTCTGATGTGTATTTGAAGACAAGGTTCGGCTGGACGTGACGGCTGACTTCGGGAAAGGAACCCGTAGCTTTAGTCTATATAATCCGAAAGGTTATTCGGTCAGCTTGTGGCATTGTTAGAGTTAACGTGGTTGAGCCATGTATAATGCTTACGGCTCTCACAAAGGAAGCATGTCACCATATCCTTTCTATTGGTTTCACGCGGCTTTGATACACAGACCGAGGGGTAAAAGGCTATCAGAGGTAGTCTTGTGGCCTCAGCGGCGATGGTGACGAGGACACTCATGAGGTATTACCCCAACACACAAAGTTGCGGGAGTCACAATACAGCTATGGGTAGCACATGTGCTTGCTTCGGGGTCGGGGCGAGAACCCGAGCCCCTCTTCTCTGGCGAGGATGGGTTTCCTATAAGACCAGCTCACGGGAGGAAGCAGAGAGGGCAAGAGAATAGCTTCTTAGGTATCGAATACAACAATGGCAAACTTTGATTGGCACGCTGAGAGAACCGATCTCTCAGATTTGACTCTCCTGGATCGAGCCCCTGAGAGTGAGGGCATAGATCTCAAGGCAGTTCGTCTATACCGTCTTAATCGTATGCGAAACCAGATGGTCAAATATGGCCTCGACGCTGCCATCATCAGTGATCCCGTCAACATTCGATACGTTACTGGTACTCGAAACATGCAGGTCTTTACAGCACGGAACCCTCCCACACGGTATCTTCTCCTCACGGCAACTCGATCCATCATGTTTGAGTTTGCGGGCTGTCTTCACTTGGCTCAAGGCTACGAGACTGTCGACGAAGTCCGCACGGCAAAGTCTGTCACGTTTACGAGCAGTGGTCCCAAGATCCACGACAAGGAGAGGAAATGGGCACAAGAGATGGCTGATTTGGTTGAGGATCTTGTTGGAAAACGGAATGCAATACTTGGTCTGGAGCGTATGAATGGAAACGTTGCTATCGCCCTCAAGGAACTCGGCCTCAACATTGTGGATGCTCAACAAGCTATTGAGATGGCGAGGACTATTAAATCACCTGAGGAGGTCAAATGCATTATCGCATCTCTACGCGCAACAGAAGTCGCGGTTGGCAAACTCCGCGATGCAGTCTCACCAGGTCTCACGGAGAACCAACTCTGGTCAGTCATGCACAAGTCTGTGATTGAGCAGAATGGAGACTATGTTGAGACTCGACTCCTTAGCGCTGGGCCACGAACAAACCCTTGGTTCCAGGAGTCAGCAAGTTATGTCATCCAGAAGAACGACCTTGTGGCCCTAGACACAGACGTAGTTGGTTGCCATGGATACTACTCTGACTTCTCACGAACGTTTCACGCTGGCCCAGATTCTCCTACTGAGGAGCAAAAAGAGCTGTACAGAACTGCACTTGCACAGGTTAATCACAACATGAGCATTCTCAAGCCGGGCCTGACCTTTCGCGAGTATGCAGATCTCGCGTGGGATATTCCTGAGCAGTATTGGGCTAACCGGTATTTTGTCTCGGCGCATGGATGTGGCCTTACTGGAGAGTATCCGTATTTGTATCATCGAGGAGATTTTCCAGATGCTGGTTATGATGGTGTTATCGAGCCGGGCATGGTACTTTGCGTGGAGAGTTATATTGGCAAGGAGGGTGGTACACAGGGTGTCAAGTTGGAGCAGCAAGTCCTAATCACCGAGACTGGGATTGAGGTTTTGTCAAAGTTCCCGTTTGAGGAGGCTATGTTGAAGTGATTGGGAGAAGTCAACGATATATACCAAGTACGTTATCTGAATTGTCTTATCTAACAGTCAATTTGTCCTCTGGATATGAACATCAATCCATCGGCAACTAATAAGGCAGGCATTCGAGCTGAGAGCATTGCCCACAAGATCGGTCATAGAACTTTGTTCCTCTATCATTAGCCGAAATGCCCATACTCTCCTTAGAGACCGTTGAAAGATAACAGACTCTGTAATATTGGTTAACGACCCAGCCAAATACCACACAGCTCTCATCCGCCAGACATGCTCGGGCACACATCTCGACGCTTCCCTGAAACATCGAGATGGATTTGTAATCTTTGCTATTGCTGTTGAAGCTGCCCTGAGTGCCACCGCAAAGACTAGTCGTCTCTGTTGGAACAGCGCACGTCGGTGCATATTCGCTCACATATATGTCGTCAATAGCAACATAACGAACGGCAGCCTGGCTGTTGGCTCTGATAAAGGCATAGAGGTGGTCGTTCATTGCTCCTTGGAAGATCGCGGTGCGTTGAACGTATTTGAAAGGAGCGCCTTTCGGGACAAGGACTTTCTCATTGTGGACATGACCATATCTCTGAGTGGCAATGATGAAGGAAAAGTCCCAGTCTTGGTCAGGGTCAGAGACAGGAGCATACGAGAACCAGACTTGGTACTTCTTTGTTGGGTCTAGAGATATGGGCCTCCACATATCAGATCCAAGTGTAGAGCCAGCTCCTACGCTAACAAGCCTTTTGTGGTGTTAGTTGTGACCGAGTCTGGGAGCGCTGATATGTGTTCCACTTACGCAAACTGTTCGCCACTATGAGCACGCGGTACGTCCTCAGAGGTGCTGCTCTTTTGTTGAAAGGGTACAGCAATACCGGCGAACTGCCCCATATAGTCCCATCTATTCTCGCCCGTATTGTCCCCCTCAAAGCTTGGGTCTTCGATAGAGACTGAGACAACGGGGCACGATGCTGCTGTAGTTGTTGACGTCCACAGGCTTTCCGTTGTCGACGTGCTTTCGGATGCTGATAAGGATGTAAACAGGGTCGTTGTAGTGTCCATGCTTGTGGGTGCTTCACTAGTCATAGTTGTTGCATCAATGGTTGTAGTAGGGCCATTGGATGTAGTGATATCAGTAGTGGTGGTACCGGTTGAGGCCCTGCTTTCTCCTGAGTTGGCTGTCTCGGTTGTTGCAGATGTTTTGGTAGTGTCAGTCGGTGTTTTAAGCTCGGTTGAAGTTGAGTGAGCAGATGTAGCTGTATCGGTGGTTGCAGTCGACTCGTTAGATGTGGTGGAAATGGTTGTAGTTGCGACATCAGTAGTATCAGTTGAAGCACTACTAACGCCTGAGATAGTGGTGTCGGCTGAAGTAAAACTGTTGCTTGATTCCGATATATCAGTTGAGGCGGTGACAGTGGCCCTAGTCGTAGTGGTGGTCGAATCCTCGATTGTCGTTACAGCAGTCGAGGTTGGATCAAGACTACTTGGCGAAGTCGAAGTTGAAGTCTCAGAATCAGAATTGTAAATGGTTGTAGAGTCGACAGATACTGTGTAGTCCGAAAAGCTTGCACTCAAAGTTGTGGTTTGCGACAAAGTTATAGTTGAAGATGCACCCAACCCTGTTGACACAATATCGACGGCACCGGTAGAACTGGAATAGTCTGTTGAAGATGAAGAATCAAGAATCTCCGTGGTTTCAGTTTCAGAACCGGCTGCACTCGAAGAAGCGATTACAGTTGAGGTATCCGACATCAACGACAAAAGTGACGTATACTCAGGGTGAGGATGTGGTTTACATTTTCCAGCCTCAACAACCCAGAAGCTTGATGCCGTTAATACAGCAGCAAGCACTTTTGAGGTCACCATATTAGCATTGGTCTGTATAATAAGCAGGTATCTGTTCAATTGTATATTATTTTAGCGGGTGAGTGTCCCTTTTTGTCCTACGAAAGTGGTGGTGATGGAGAAATAACCATATTTAGAAGCGCAATTTTATATGCGTTCAGAACGAACGGGAGCCAAACAAAACAAGCTATTTGGATCCATCGGATTTCAGCTGATCGATATGACAAGGGATAACTACAATCAATAGGTCTTTTTCGATGCGGCTGTGACATAGCGTCAGGGGTACACAGACCTTGAAATGGTCAAAAGGACTGATATCAGGCCGTTTATGGGCTTAGACAATTTTATTTGGCAGCGCCATCTCTTTGGCTCTATCAATAGTTTCGTGGTCTAGGCTCTATGGACTTTAATAGCCTGTGAACCGTGTTCAAAGGGGAGCGCAGTTTTTTTATGCTTTTATTGACGATATCCATGTGTATACATCTCCAAGCATCCTCCGATGGAAATTGAATTCTCATATCAAGACGAAGAAACCTGTCGTGATCGCTCTAGTAAAATTCTGCTCAGAGGCGATACTCCGTTGATAATTCCAATTCCGTGATAGCAGAAACACAAGAAGAAGAAAAGAATAATCTGGCTCGATAACTGGCTCAGATTTTTCAACTGCTCTTTTTGTTCAATTGTTAGTTCTCCACCAAGTTTGGTATCCTTGAGTTAGAACCTTAAAGAAGTAGAAGGCGTACTTTTATAAGAATAAGAGAGAATCTAGATGATGCAAGAAAAAGCCATGACAAGTATCAGTCTCTCTCCCTATATATACTTGAGTTACTAAAAATAAATGAGCCATCTTGTCTTGAGTTTCTTGGAGTTCAGAAATCGCAAGTCTCGGGCTAACTTGTCATAATACCAAAATAAGGTATCCATCCTATTTTCCTTCCAATGCGAGGGGAATATCCGTATATGTGAGGTGAATAGCCTATCGTTTTAGTCAAGAATACTCTTGTAATGTTAGCATAAAAAGACAAAATCTCAGTATCACAATTAACATACTATTTCCTCCTATATAACGTGGTATTTCTTCGTCAGAATCTATCAAACGCAAATAGAACCAAATTCAAAGGGTTCATGTCTTATCTCTTATCGCGATTCTTGACATGGGCTGATTGACCAATCAAGTCACCCAGATTCCACCCGTCGCGGGGCCTCACCCAAGTCTCCCAAATTTTTTCCTGCCATCCATCGCTTTCGCTTCATCTCGACTCGTCTTCAGCTTCGACTTATCAAAGTCATCGCACACCACGACAATCGCTCGCAGCACGACGTCTTTTACATACCATAGCTTATCGCGGTTAAAAAGCAGTGCAAATCAGCTCTGCTTACGATAACAACCCCAGAGCATGGCCGTCCAGACGTCGCCATCGCTCACTTCAACCTCACATACCTTGACTGCCGCGCCGCCCGTAATGGCTGCTCCCGACTCTCTCACAAATAGCCACGTCTTGGCCCTTCTAGAAAGCCTAGCCGATGGCAAGCGACACGCTTTTCTTCAACCCACAGCTTCCATCCCAACCGATTCCCTCAACCTTGTCAAGCACACTCTCGAAGGCTTTGCCTCACAAGTCGGCGATGAGCAGCAGGAGAGATTAAAGGAGAATCGCAAGCGCAAGAGAGGCGCTGCTAATAGTGAGGGTGTCCTTAAGATGCGCAAGGTCTATATCGATGGATTCGAGACCGGTCAGGTTTGGCAGCAGGCCAAGAGAATTATTGGCGGTGTCTTAAAATACTCAGAAGAGGCGCTGGCTGAGCTGGAGGAGCGCAAGGAGATCGCCGTCAACGGCGCTGATGCATCAGACTCCAAGATGCTTGAGTTTGGTGAGGATGGCTTCGAAGTGGGCTCCGAGGACGAGGACGAGAGCGATCAAGATGGATCTGAAGACGAGGAGGAACAATTATCGGCAGACGAAACTCAAGAGGATGGACAAGAGGACGACTGGGAAGATGACGAAGAGGAAATTGAAGAAGGCAGAGACGATTACCAGGAAGATGATGAGGAAGACGAGGGTCTGGATGGCCCGGTTGAAGAGTATGAGGAGGATCCCGACGGTCTCAACGATGGTTTCTTCTCACTTGACGATTTCAACCGACAAACACAATATTTCGAGGAGCAGGACGCAAAGGGAGATCCCTACACAGATCAAGCAAGCGACGATGAGGAGATCAACTGGGACGCGGATCCTCTGGCTCCTCCCACAACAGGCTCAAAGTCTAAGAAGGCTGCTAAAGAGCCAGTCTCCGAAGATGAAGATGATGACGATGAGGAGGATGGCCCTACATTTGGTGATATGGCTCTCGATGCCCCAGAAGGCGACAGTGAGGATGAGGCTATGGATATGGATGAGGCTGTGGATGACGACGATAACGGCCTCAATGCCAACGATGTCTACTATAAGGACTTCTTTGCGCCGCCGCCACGAAAGTCGAAGGGCGGTAAGCCCAAAAAGTCTGTCAAGTTCCAGCCTGAGCAGCCAAACGATGCCGACGTTGAGAGAGCCATGGCCGATGTTCGCAGAGATCTCTTTGACGACGAGTCAGAACAAGACGACTCGGATGATGCTCTCTCTGATGTCTCCGCTGGAGACCCCAAGTCAAGACGCTCAGCTCACGAGCGGAGACAAGCCAAGCTTGCTGAAGAGATCCGCAAGCTCGAGGCTGCATCCGTTGCCAAGCGTGAGTGGACTCTCTCTGGTGAAGCTGCTGCAGTTGACCGCCCTGTAAACTCTTTGCTGGAGCAGGATCTCGACTTTGAGCATGTTGGCAAGCCTGTGCCTGTCATCACCCCTGAGGTCAGTGAGAGCATTGAGGATCTCATCAAGCGTCGCATTCTCGCTCAAGAGTTTGACGAGGTTATTCGCCGACGTCCTGATACCGAAGGTGCAGCCGCAGGTACACGTCGTGGTCTTGTCGAACTCGATGATACCAAGGCTACAAAGGGTCTGGCTGAGATCTACGAAGAAGAGCACGTCAAGAACACAAACCCAGACACTTACCTCAGTCAATCAGACGAGAAACTTCAGCGCGAAGAGAAGGAAGTTGAGGCTATGTGGAAGGACGTCAGCGCTCGTCTCGACGCCCTCAGCTCATGGCACTACAAGCCCAAGCCCACAGCACCCTCACTATCCGTTGTCGCGGACGTCGCCACCGTCGCAATGGAGGATGCCCAGCCCACAACAGCCCAGGGCGTCGCCGGCGAGAGCAGTCGCATGGCTCCCCAGGAAGTTTACAAGGCTGGAGCCACAGAGAACGCAGCCAACGGCGAGGTCGTCACCAAAGCCGGTCTTCCTGTGGCGCGCCAGGAGATGTCCCGCGAGGACAAGGCCCGCCGACGCCGTCGCGAGAAGGAGCGCGTGCGCAAGACTGGAGGTGTCGACGGCGAGAAGGTTGTCAGCAAGAGGGCCAAGATGCAGCGCGACACCATCGCGGAGCTCAAGAAGGGAGGTGTCAAGGTCATCAACCGCAAGGGAGAGATCACCGACGTGGATGGCAAGAAGGCAAAGACTGCCAAGATTGCTTCGGGCGGCAATTTCAAGTTGTAGTAGATGGTCAAGGGGTATTATTTCTTTTTGCAGTTTGGGTTGGGGTGTCAAAAGTCACGATGGGGTGTTTGCATGGCTTGCAAGCGATTCTTTATAAGAACGCATTTTCATGTTTGTTGCATGGGTTTCATATGTTCATACTGGATTCCTTTTTTGGGTGACTTGGTTAATGCATGAAAGATGGATGTAGTAGTTATCGTCTTCACTCATGAGTTATGCTCACATTTCCCATTGAATCCGTCCATTATGCCGAGAATCCCTCGTAATTAATCGTACATCAAAGATCTGTAGTTTTACATTTTGCCATATACTCAGAGTAACATTTGGCTACTTCAAAATCCGATCCTTTCCGGCCCGTACCCTTCCTTTCGTCGCAATATGACAATGTCCTGAACTCCATCGTGGGGTTTTTTTTTTTCTCCCGCTGAAACAATAGCCAACCAGTACCGTTGACCTCGGTCCTAAGCTTCCACCTTGGCCTTCTTGATCTCGGTATCTTCAGCAGGCTCTTCTGCCTTTCGCTTGCCGTTAGTCTCAGCTTCAGGCACGGATGCAGCTTCAGATTTCTCGGTAGTTTCGTCCTTGTTCTTCTTGCGGACAAGTCCACTAAGATCGGTGGCGGTCTTCTTGGCCTCGTCAACGCGAGCCTTAGTCTCAGCAGCAGACTCGCCTAGGGCAGCTCCAAGAATGCCACCGATGGGTCCAGCATCAGCACCCAAAATGTCCTTGGCGTCAATGGGGTCATTGCGCAGTTCAACGAGCTAGAAAGTCAGTAAAGGAAACCAAAGACGTCCCGAAGGGACCGGGATGCACAAAGACTCACTCGCTGCTCCATGTCACCGATGACTTCCTTCATCTCTTGGATGGATTTTCGCGCCAGCTCGTTATCCTCGGGGGAGGCCATAGTGGCCAGCTCAACCTCCTTGTTCTGAAGCTTGAGTTTTGAGCTCTTGATGGCGAGCTCCATTTCCTTGACGGCTTCGTCTCGCAGACCTTGGTCCATCTCCTCTCGCTTGGAATTTGCGCCATCGTCACCAGCAGTTGTCACAGAAGCAAATTCCAGAGCGAGGGAAAGCTTGAAGTGGGCTTCAGCAATGATCTCCGACTCCTCGGGGTACAGCTCCAGCTTATATTTGAGCGAGGTTCTACCATCCTCAATGGCATTGGGGTATCTGTATGAGTGTTAGGGTTAAGACAAGGCTGAAATATCGTAGGGGCTTGCGCGTACCGTTCATTCTCGAGAGAAATCTCAGCGAGGGCATCGTGAGTGTCTGCAAGACGCTCCTTCACGTGCCGGACGGTAGGCGAATCGCCCTCTGCAGCCTCCTTGCCTTTGCCGCTGGTTTCAGATTCCTCCTGTTCGAGAAGCTCGAGTTTCTTCATGAAGCAAACTCGGGCAAGGTCGAGGATCTCAAAAGCGGTGGCCAGGTCATCATCTTCTTCCTCTTCTTCACCTTCGCCCTCGGCCTGGTATAGGTCAGTATCTGGTACTAAAAATATGATTCAGGAAAGGTCTATACCTCTTCCTCATCCGACTCATCAAAGTTCTCATCACCAGTAAACTGGAACAGGGGCTTCTTATCTCCCTTAATTTCCTCGGTCTTCTTCTCTCCTTCTTTTTGCTCGGCAACGATCCCGACACCTTCTTGCGTCACGTTCTGTGCCTCAGTCTGGGCAGGCTTCTTGGACTTGTTCTCTGCGCTGCTCTTCTTCTTCTTCTCAGAAGCAGCGGGACCTCCTAGAACGTCGCTCTTGCTTTGGCCAACTCTGAACAAGCTGCGACCATAGTGGAAAAGGATCTCGGCATTATCAGGTGACGTTTCGCCATTGACTTCGGCTTGAAGAACACTGGCGCGTGAGAAGACCTCAGCGGCCTCCTCGTAGTTCTTGTGGGCGTACAGGGCAGATCCCTTTGCTGACAAGTCGGCAATGGTAACCTTCTTAGAGTTGGGATCTTGATCGTTCGCGATGAGGTAGTCGGTGTTGGGGGTGCCAACGCTGGGGGTGCCGATGAGGGGGGTGATGGTAGTGGACTCTGCTTGGTCGGCAGCTTTCTGAGCATCAGAGGGACCGAGGGTGTCAGCGGAGGGAGTCGCGGTCCCTTCAGCTGGCTTCTCAACAGATTTCTCAGAGGAAACTTGGGGCTCGTCGATGACCTTGGCCGTCTCGTCCACGACAGGCGCAGTCTGTTCTGTAGCTTCAGACATTGCGACTCAGGTATGGATGTGTGACAAATGAGAAGATGAAGTCAATTGGATTAAGGAAAGAATAGCGAAGGCAACTTCAGAACTTGATAGATGACTAATGAAATTTGTGGTTGTTGGGAGATGAAATGATTGAAAGTTGGTATTTCATGCGGAGGTTTGCGACAGTCAAAAAGAGACGACCCAGCAACGGTAAAGGCGACCAGGTACCTGATGGGCAACAGGATTGGGAAGGTATGACGCGCCATCGTGCTGAGGGATGGATTTAGCGCGTTTGATTGGCTGATAGGCGCTGGTGGGGGAAACTTGGAGCTCCTGTCGTATGAGCTGAGTTGAAGGATATTCAATCTCTGCGCATCTGCAACTAACGGAAGGTCAATGCCATACGGGACTTATTCTTTTCGACTTTGGGACTCACGCACACGATCTAAGCATTGGGAGAATTTCAGGCGCTCAACCTATCACAGGTTTGCCCTTCACACGGTATGAGCGCTCCTGTGATAGACCCTACCCTGCAGATAACCGTATAAAATGCATTGATGAAGCTATATTCACGGATAGGTACTAGCTGATGTGACTGGATTGATGGATTGTGATGATGTTTAATTTATGCATTTTCTGTGAAGGTGACTTAATGTATACATGCCTGGCACTGTCTTTTGATGGTTGTTTTTGTGACATGTTCAAATCATCGACACACAAACACATAACCACATTGAAGTGCAATCATTGCACGCAGGCATCCAAATGACAATCAACAGTGCTTAAACCAGCAAAGAACTCGTTTAGTTATCCGCTCTATGAAGTTCCATGATCTTCACAGGCTGCCAGTAGAACCCAACAGCCATTGCGATGCAGTCCATCCTCCCTAAAGCTACGATCAGCATTTTGCTATAGCATAATATCATATCATGGGACTGCTGTTACCCATGCAGGCAGGCCATGTAGTTTGGCTCAACAATATCCAATTAATTCATGCGTCTTACTCCGCCACTTTACAGCTGCTCAGCTCCGAGCACTCAACTCCGCGTAAAAACGAGGGTTCACTAATCGATCCGGCTTGGCACGCGTTGCATCGTGGTATCTTGGCGCGAGCTGAACGCCAGGTCATGTGCCCTAGTCTCAGCCAAGGAGGTAACTATTGGCTCCAAGATAAGCCATGATCAGGCAACAACAGCCTCTGACGGAATTTCATTAAATGATACAGTTGGGAACAAAGCAAGAGAAATGTCAAGAGTGGCGGTGATCAGGAGCCCGAGGTATATATTCGAGTGTTGCGGCAATTGTTTTTTGGAAAGAAGACCATTCAACTTACACGAGAGCCATACAACAATCACAATTCCAAACACAGTCACCCACAATGTGTGAAGAGAACCTCGTTCAGGTAGCATCGACATGACCATTCAACATGCCAAGCTAACCCCAATCAAGGAAGCACTCGGTCAAATTTGTTGGCTCGAGGTTCCAGTGCGTGATGTTCCTCAAGCCAAAACCTTCTACATGGAACTCTTTGGCTGGGAGTTTGTACCAGAGCCTCAAAAGGCCGTCGGCGACTGCGTCAAGAGTATGCACTTCTTCAACAAGGGCAAGACCCTCCACGGGGCATTTCTTGAACATGACGAGGAATATCATGTCATCAACAACAATCCCGACAAACCAGGTGCACTGCCCGTCCTGCCAACTCTATGCGTACTGGATTGCGAAGAGACCCTGGCCAAGGCAAATGCGATTGGTGGCAAGACTGCCATGTAAGTTGCGCCCGTTCCATCACGAGGTGGAAAGCTTGAAGCGAATTGAACATCCATATTAACCGTCGCCAAGCCCAAAGACGGCTATTGGAGGAGGGATGGGGTATTTTGCTCGGGTGATTGATACCGAAGGTAACATGATCGGTCTCTGGTCTCAGAAATGACAAGTGAGCGTGGGAAGATAAGGTTGACTTTTGTCGCTTGGTAACTTATCGCAATGGAGATATTATGCCATGCTGCTTGCTTCTGATAAAGTAATCCTCAAGATTTACCGGTACCCCGACTCTATGACCATGATTCAGAATATTATCCAAAATATCCGAACGGTGGAAAATATCAGAGAAAAACGCAAACTTGTTCGGCGAAACTTGTGCTGACCAACCCGATGTTAGACAAAGCTTGACGCCAAGCAAAGCCAAGTCTTGTTTGTCACTGCTATATGAATTATTGGACGGAATCAACTGACATGAACTCGTATGAGTCGTGTCAGACGCCAATTAACAAGCTTCATCGCAAAAAAATTGACATGCAGAGAACTCAAGAAGCGAGCTCTTGAGCCTGTGGTCATTCCTCGCCAAGATGTGTAGAATTTGGACCTGTCTCATTCGTGGACTAACTGGCTCGATAAGCCGTTTGTAAGGGACCATGCTTGAGCCTGGGTCGATTATATGGGGTTGGAGACTTCAGGAATTGACGAAACACGACGGGGTAAGCATTTCATGTCAAGTAATGTATCTGTAACAGACGCGCCCCGGAAACTTAGAGTTCCGATACTGAGATCGTTATAGCTGGAGAAGAAAGTCTATCAGAGTCTGAGTATGTATCAAACCTATGTATGTTTTGTTACAGAACAGCCGAGAAACATGTACGATAGATACGACGCTGAATTACCGTTCAACGGTAGAACAAGATTGACTTTTAACGGCATTGCATGCATGCATGCATTATTATCATACGTCTGACCACACAGAAGTGGAAGATGAGTGGCTGTTGGTGATACTATAGACGGAAAACCGCTTCTGTGCATATCCGGCACATTGACCAGATTGGGAAGAATCTATCTACTTGGAGCATGTCCAAGCGACATTTGGGAATACGACCGTAGAATAAACTACAGACTCCCAACTCCCGTGACGACGACGTAGTATTAGTCCTGCGGAGATTGCTTATGAGACGAATACGTAACGTCTCTTGAGTCTCTGTAACTTTTCCGTTCATGTTCCGTCCCGTGAAGCTTTGCCGCGACCTAGACGAGGAGACAAGAGACATGGATCTCCACTGAACAAGATAGTCGTTATCCACTGAAGACTAACGCAGCGTAGCACCGGAGAGAACGGCGAGACGATATCCGCCCATCTGATGCGTACTTCTCCAATGGTTACAACCAAAACATATTCTGTAGCGAAACGAAGATCCCGTGTAATAAGACAATATCACGCCAGCTTAAGAAACAAAGTGGGCAATGCTGGGATTAGATATTAGTTAATGCTCGTCCTGAGTTTATAGCGGCAATAGGCATAGGTATAGCCATAGACCCCTGAGATAAACGTTGCGCCGAGTGCAACCTGTCCATTTGACTGTGGTCGATGGCATTATCATGCTGATGGTATCGCATGGGCTTTGAAACATAGAACAAGAACAAGGGCAAGGATTGAAGTGGGAGCCACTCGAAACAACCGCGTACCGACAGCGGAGTATGCGGGGACTTCTCACATCTGATTGGAGGATAATTCGAATCCAAGAAGCTCCATCTATCAGAGGTTATGGAGAATTATTAGTCCAAAAGCTTCGACCCTTGGGGAGGGCAGGGCCCCCACCCCCATTGAACTACATCTCTTTGTGGCGCTTTCTCTTATTCCTCTGAGGAATTTTGCTGTCAAGTATCAAAGTATCGTCAGGAAAAGACGAGATGCAGTTCATGGACCTGGAGCCCCCAAATAATCCGTCCACTGCATTATGCACTTTCTCTTTAGTGTTGGTCCCCATGGGCCAAGGGTCGGCCGCTAGTGAGGTCAGTATTCCATGGCATCAGGAAGATTATGAGTGACGATCTGCTAAGGGAAGAGTTTCTAGTTATGGTTTGATCGGGAAATAGATGTGTTGACCGAAACACCTAATTACGTTGGGTCAATCCCAAATCCAACCCCCACGACGGATATATTGGAACCATATTTGATCATCCTGGCATTAGTTACGATGAGTATACGGATAATATCATAACATATAGCATTATTATAGGAAACAATCTCAGCATATCCTCTCCATACAGTACCATAGCAATATCGCAGATGACAGGACTGCCCAATAGATAAGATATATGTAGCCTCAGATAGACTTTCTACTCCATGTCCCAGCACAACGGTTGACAAGCTCGAGACGGGTGTCTCCTTGGTCGCCTGGTGGTGGAAAATATCGCCTCACCCATGCCGCTTGACTTGATTTTCTCCCTTCCACCAACGATAACAGTCTAATCCTGGTTCATAGCCAGTCTTCGGCACCAACGCCTTTCTTCAGTATCATTGCTCATCTCCATCCCGTCTTCTCTGTCTCCATCCTCCTTCGCTTCGTCTCCAGTTCTCAGTATCCACTGAAGACAATCCACTATCACTAGGTATCCACTGCCCTGTCCGTCAGCTCCATCAGGTATCGTCAGGGATCCATCTCATGTACCCAATCTGAGTCGGCTCAAACACCATCCCATCGGTCAAATAATCATCGCTTGGCACTTTTTAGCGACTTTACATACATACTCTAGGTCTTGGCCTAGTCTTAGTCTTTGCATCGCTTCCCTCATCAACCTCCATCCGTCCCATCATGCTATTACTGCCTTGTCTGCACTGCGCCTTATAGCCCCAGGACATGTAATTCTTGCTCTGATTAGTCGCCTTCATCAATAGGTGAGTTACCCCCCAGGAAAACTCAACAGTCCTACCTTCCTTCCTACCTTCCTCTTTCTCTTCTCTCATCAAACCTCAAACCTTACCCCATACTTGAGAAATCATCCCCACAACAAAGGGTCCGCATTCACTTCTTACCACTACAACTACCTACCATCATTTACTATCATAGAGACCCAACTTGTTCTTGCGACTCAATTCTAATACTCCATATAGAATTTTCTGCTACTTCCTCTGGACATACCTGGAATTGGAGCTACAACAGCAACTCGACACACGCACCGCCATTTCACCATTTAATACTCAAATCTTCATCGCGACGTCGAACGTTGCGCCGTATACGAGAAACACACCGAGAACCGATAACGAACTTCACTACGTCCCGAAAATCAATAATTGAATTTCCGATCAACAGAACGTTTTCCAGCGCATTGAAGGCGCCTGCTTTGGATGGGAGCGCATTTGGTGTAGGCAAGGACACTGGGAATAGCTTCAGCGCAAAGCTGTAACAACGACGGAGCTCAAGAGGCGGAACGTTTCTACCGTACCGAAAAAAAACTCTAAAAAAACTATACAAAATGGCCGCCGTTCAATCGATATTAACGGAAACCCTTCCCGGGCCGACGCCCTCAATTGCCTTGAATGGCGCTACCGAACCAACCACTATGCACATCGACCGACCGAGTTCGAGTCCAGTAATGGTCAACGAGAGCACGTTTGGAAGCACACCGGCAAAGGGAGACTCCAGAATCGTCGTCATCATGTATGGACCAGGTCAGGAACACATCGTCTCAGTCTTCGCAGAGGTGCTGGGTACGCCATGCAGAACAAGGAATGGGTTTGAGGAGGTTTCGCCCGAGGATTCTGGATTCGTTGTAGGAGTCGCAGCAAACGAAGCGAAAGGCGACGTTGCTGCACGCAATCGCAACCTTGTTGTCGCAATAAATACTCACTGTGTGAATTTAGGGATGCCTCCTGACATCCAACTTTCTACCCATTGCGACTACGAATTCCTCTATACCGAGTCCCCGTTCTTCCGTCGCGACCTGGCTAGATTCATCTCATTTACTTTGGGTCAGATCAATTACCATGAGGCTCTCATGGCAAAGCCAAGAACCTATTTCATCTCCACGACCTTCCCAGACGTCCACGCCGCTCTGCCTAATATCGATATCCTAACTGTTGGCGCTGATGCGGTTGAGATCCGCGTTGATTTACTTAGAGAACCTCTTGGCGATGGCAGCTATTCGGAAGTCCCCAGTCTCAGTTATGTTGGGGAACAGGTCATGCTTCTCCGCCAACGGACAGAGCTTCCCATCATCTTCACAACACGATGTGTAAGAGAGAATGGAAGGTTTCCCATGGACAAACCGGAATTGTACTACGAATACCTCTACCGTGCGATTCAATGGGGTGTAGAATACATCGACGTAGAACTTTGGCTTCCAGAAGAGATTCGCAAGAAACTCCATGAGCAGCGGGGAAACTCGCGCATCATGTCGGCGTTCCACGACTTCTCAGGAAATTTCAGATGGCCGTCGGCGTATGCTCAGGAGGTGTTCCAAAGGTCTATACCCTACGCGGATATCATCAAGATGATTGCTATAATCAACGAACACAACGAGAACTTCGAACTAGAGTATTTCCGTTCCAAGATGCGTGCCGAGTACCCCAATGCGCCCCCCTTCTCCGCTGTCAACATGGGCGAAGTTGGCCAGTTTTCAAGGACTCTGAACCCTGTCTTTACACCTATTACCCACCCACTTCTTCCTCTCATCGCTGCTCCTGGGCAATTGAGCGCCGCCGAGATCAACGCTGCTTTATCACTTCTAGGTCAATTACCAAGAAAGCGCATCTATGGAATCAACAGCTCATCGTCTCGAAACGCCACGCCACAGGCTCCCTTCTATGAAAAGTGTATCAACGAACTTGGTCTTCCGCATCAATTCGCAGTTGTCGAGAGGCATCCAAACAACCCAAGGAGCTTGGAGACATGGTGCAACCAGAAACATTTCGGAGGCGCCTATCTCAACCCGGGTCTACCACATAATGCATTGACAAAGATTAGCCCATTCTTCGCAGGGTTGAACGGTGGCAATGGGCCAATCTTAACGGAGGCTGCTCGCGTTATTGGAGTTGTAGATACAATTGTGGTCCAGTCAGGCACCTCATCCAGATCGTCTTCTCCGGGCTCAATGCCATCAAGCCCGCGACAACGGCAGAGCGACTCAGTTGATCTCAGCAGCCAGTCCGGCCTAGGCTCATCG